GAAGAGGGCTTGCATTCCGACCCATGAAATGCAAGTTCCGGGACATATCGGGAAAGTTCCCAACGTTCTGAAGAGCTCTGTTCAACATGGACAATGGACGGGCCATGGGACGACCGCGCCCCAGGAGCAACATCCCAACCAGGGCGTTCCGAAAATAGGGGGTACCTTATTTTGGGGGGACTACCTATAGTCTCCATTATAGTTCTTTTTTGGGTTAACCAAAAACTTAACAATAAAACTGGTTAACCAAAACAAGGAACTACAATGGAGACTATAGGTACATCAGGGCCTCCTGTTTTCGGAAACTCCCACCAGTCAAACAACCCTTATAAGCCTGTAAGTGGTTTGCCCGAATGAATCTCTGCGAAGACTGCTCCTCCTTTCAGCAGGTCGGTATGCAGCTTTTGCTTAGATAGTGAACAGGGGAACTTTAAACTTTCTGGCCTTATATATTCTATTTTCGAAAGTTTGAACTTTTTGGGGCCCGGTTGTTGAAGAAGAGAGTTTGTCTCTGTTAGTCAAGCTGTGGTCTTCGTTTCACGCAGTCGGTTTCTGAACACGAGCTGCGCCTGGATTGCCCCTGCCCTACCCCCGTCCCCTCCAAAAAAATACCAAGAGCCGCTGTGATAAGCCCTAAACGCCTAAACCCCTTTATAACCCCGAAAACCCTGAATCCCTAAGCCCCTACACCCTCATGTAGGAACCTGATTACGAAACCTCAGGCCTTTATCAGGGTTCCTTATATGAACCCTACTATTTTGGGGTCATAAGCCCAGGGTCTCTTAATCAGGTTCCTACATTTACCCCCTTCTTCCAAACACCCTGAACCCTGATCCCTAAACCCTAACTCCAAAACCCCAAACTCCTGAACCCTAAACCCTTCTCCCAGCCTTCTCCGAAGGAGAAGGTGGTTGCACAGCTCTTCGGAGTCCTTCGTCAGGTCATTGCCAAGGACCCGGAAACCGGCACCCGGTCCCTGGGCTATGAAGGAACGGAATATGGGAGTTTCCGAAAAGTCACGGGTACCTTTAAGGGTTCCTTTGAAGTGATATATAAGGGTTCTATAAAGGGTTCAGGGTTTACCATGTTAGGGTTCCCTGTTTTCGGAAACTCCCATATGACTTTAACTTATGATACCAGGTTGTGGGTGTATCAGCACGAAGCAGACTGAAATTGTACCTACAACGAACAAAAGGCAGATGCTTCTCTCTCAGTCTCTCTCTCTCTCTCTCTCTCTCTCTCTCTGTCGCCATGCAATGTCGGCGTATGCATGAAGTTATCTTTGATGCAAGCGGAGGCTCTTGTGGAATCTTGAGGGGGAGCAGTGGCGGGCGATGGCAACGGAAGACCGCATGGCTACGTTCTCCAAGCCATTTTGCGAGATGGAGGACCAGTTCCTCTTCCAGAAGGCATATACGGGAGTTCCGATTCCGGACACCTTGTCACTTGGCTTGCGCTGGTGTGTTTTGCTATTCAGTATAATTAGTTGCTGTTTTGGCATATAGCTCCTGTTGCAAGTTGCAAGCAGTATGACGATGCTTGCATTCGCCAAGGCCTTCGTGCCCTGCGCCATACACTAGTGACCAGCAAGATTCGAGGTGCACTTGTCACCAAAACTTGGATGACACAACAAATAACTATCTGTGGAAGGACGTGCTGAAAGCCGCATGAGCCACGACATCAGAGCGCCGCTTTGTGCGTGAGGTCCACGCGGCGGCTAGCAGTATAGCTGCCACAGCTACCTTCGCTGGAAAAGAAACAGGTTGCAGCCCGTGTACGATACAGGTCTGACTACTGAACATTACTAACCCCTTAAACTAAAGTTTGCGGCAGTTTCAGCGGGCTGGTCATTGAACCTCTTCATGCGAATTCGACCCTCGCCTCCGCGGTTTCGCTCAGGCTGGGTCGTGCCTGCTACCTAGCCAGTCCCAGCCATATCGCCCGCGACGGCCGCCATGGGCTTGTTGCGCAGCGTGTCGCGCCAGAAGATGCTGCGAGCAAGTCGACGCTTGTTTGCGGCGGAAGTGCCCAAAACCCTAGATCCACCGACCCAGACATACCCGTTGGTCTACGGGCGTGTGGAGGAAACAGTGATGTCGCCATACAAGGGTGGACCAGTTTATCTTTGGCTGCGCTCAACCATCGTGTGGCTGCGCCGAGTTCCAGGTCGTCACTGGATCCGATGGATTGAGCGCAATTGGGATTACCAGAAGATGTGCATGATGGGTATGCCAGAGCTCCACATCGACCCGACCAAGAATCGCTGGCGCTACTACATCGACACGAGCTACTACGGCGGCATGCTCGACAAGTCGCACGAGGACTTCTACCGCTACATCATGATGTACCCCACCTTGGCCTTCTTCTTCCATTGTGTCTGGTGTCGCGTCAAGGACAACGAGCCGTTTCGGCGACCACAGTTTTGATCTATCCCGGTGACATAAAGGTCTTCTAAGTGAAGGGTAGAAAGGGCGGCACTGTGCATATGTTCGAATATCGGCATGACGTAATGGCACCAGCGAAGGCATCATACAGAGGAGTTTCCGAAAAAAGGGGACCCTAATAAAGTACCCTCAATAGTAGGATCGTTGTTTGTTTTGGACCCCAAAGTAAGGTACCCCGAACTTTCGGAGACTCTAAACCCTAAACCCTTTATAGAACCCGCATAGATCCCTTTAATGGAACCCTTAAAGGTACCCCGAATTTTCGGAAACTCCCATATAGTCTGGAAGTTCTAGGTGCATAGGACAAGCCGTCGCAGTGTGCAGGACAACGACAAGGACAACTTCCTCGCGAAGTGGCGTGTGCCTGCGTTCGTTTTAGTGGTAGAATCTATTTTCAGCGACAATACTCGTGATTTATTGTAAATAACATAAATATGAATCTGTATGTATGTATGTATGTATATATATATATATATATATATATGTTATTATTTTTATGGTTTCCTTATTCAGCTGATGATCGAACAGAGCCTGGGTTCAAAAATGGTAACTTAAATTCTATAAATCCTCTAACGAGAACCCAGGTGCCCGCTGACGAAGCGTGATCGGAGAGCTGCCGCCCAGATGCTTGAAAGCTTGTCTCACACGGCTTCTTCCATAAACAACTCGCTTTCTAATAGCTATAAGTACTTCAATCCAGCAAGAACGGCAATAGCTGCATTTACAATCTTCAGCCACAGGCCCCAAATCCTGAAATCCTAAGCCTAGGTTTGCCTCGACCCATAATTGAGATTGCGACAAGAGACTGTTGCCTACGGGAGTGATTGTTCTCCCTCGACAACTCGTCAACTGGTTGTTCGGATGCACAGAAATGGCGGTGAGTGCGTGCAAGCAATGCAGTCGCCAGAAGTTGTGCATCATGTACGTGGTACATCCAGGGGGTCTAGCTACGTACCTCGCATACAGCATGACCGATGTGATCTAGCACAGTATGTGTCTTCGATGGAGCATTTGACTTGAGCAGCCTACACGTGCAGTACCAGTATGCCATTGCACGTGAGCCTCGCCTCCCGCGGTTTCACTCAGGCTGGTTCGTTCCTGCTACCTAGCCAGTCCCAGCCATATCGCCCGCGACGGCCGCCATGGGCTTGTTGCGCAGCGTGTCGCGCCAGAAGATGCTGCGAGCAAGTCGACGCTTGTTTGCGGCGGAAGTGCCCAAAACCCTAGATCCACCGACCCAGACATACCCGTTGGTCTACGGGCGTGTGGAGGAAACAGTGATGTCGCCATACAAGGGTGGACCAGTTTATCTTTGGCTGCGCTCAACCATCGTGTGGCTGCGCCGAGTTCCAGGTCGTCACTGGATCCGATGGATTGAGCGCAATTGGGATTACCAGAAGATGTGCATGATGGGTATGCCAGAGCTCCACATCGACCCGACCAAGAATCGCTGGCGCTACTACATCGACACGAGCTACTACGGCGGCATGCTCGACAAGTCGCACGAGGACTTTTATCGCTACATCATGATGTACCCCACCTTGGCCTTCTTCTTCCATTGTGTCTGGTGTCGCGTCAAGGACCGACCATGCCGTGATAGATTCAGATGCGGTTTTCCTGGCAAATCAACTAATGTCTGAAGTCTGAAGTGTAGATTTGCCAAAAGGCCATCTAGCTGTTATCTTGTTTTGAGGACAACGACAAGGACAACTTCCTCGCGAAGTGGCGAGTGCCTGCGGACGAAGCCTGAGTGCTGCCATCTAGCAATGCAAAAAACTGTACACCGGTAAGGGATCTCCCATTTCTGCCTCCTGGGTCTTCGTGACCATAGCCTAGGTGTCCACATGAGCTTCTAGAACCTACATATAATATTTGGCCACTGGAATGGGTCGAAGCCCTGCAGGAAGAATGGAGGTCTTGTAAGGGGACGGTTTTTCAAAATCTTGGACCCTTTGTAGGGTGATGGCGACTCGTGCTGAAGGAAAATCTGCCGAACGTGATTTCACGTCATCAGCATAAGATATCTCGCGCGAAACAAAACCACTTACCTGCTGTTAGAGTGGAACAAGGACAGGAGTTATACCGACTTGGCATGGTGGTCAAGCAGTCTGCATCAGAGATTATTCGTTATCACACCCCTTAGCCTTAGTCCCAAGACATGCAACAAGTGCTCTTTGACGATTTCCCCAGCCATTCATCACTCAAGCCTCTCTGCGAGAAGTTCACGCCAGCCGCCGGACGAACTTCCTAGCACGTGGATGCTCGGCACCTGCAGGATGTGTGTTTGTTTGTGTCCTTCGGTTGATGATACATATCCGGCCTTACCTATAATAAGCGGTACACCATAATTCCCATAGTTTAGGGTCCTTAAGGTGATGCAGGATGTCTATCATCAGCAGTTTCCCTGGGTCTTTTTAAGACTGTGCATGTTGCAGGAGGCATTGTCGAGATCAGTGAGGTGTCAGGGTTTGAGTAGGCTGAACTCGTAAATCTTCAGTGCGCGAGCACTTGCGATGTTGGAAAAGAGGTGCTTGCACAACCTTGCAACTGAAGGCAATGAAGCGCCCTGCCGATGCTGAGCCAGCTGAGGAGAACGGAGAGGCTCGTGGGCGGAAGCCCCAGTGCCCTCCTACTACAACAACTGCTGTACTACTGCCACTGCTGCTACTACTACTACTGCTGACGACGACGACTGCGACTGCGACTGCGACTGCGACTGCTACTGCTACTGCTACTGCCGCTGACGCTGCTGCTGCTGCTACTGCTGGTACTGCAACTGGTACTGCTACTGCTACTGCTACTGCTACTGCTGCTGCTGCTGTTGCTGCTGCTGCTACGCTACTGCTACTGCTACGGCTACTGCTACTGCTACTGCTGCTGCTGCTGCTGCTACTGCTATTGATTACTACCACCACTATTAAGAACATTCCTGTAGACTGTTATTACGCTAGTACGCTGCTCATAAACAATACTATAGTCGTACTGCTTTTGGGTTTAGGCAAGCAGCAGTTTCGGGCTTTCTAAGCAGCTTGCCTGGCATGAAAGAGTCGTAGCTGCGAGAAGGACTAGTGAGACATCTACAGGAGGACCTGTAGTCCGGAGTCGCACCAGCACTTTAGGATGCAGAGACTTAAAGCTTTGCAGGACAATGTCCGAGCCCTGCCACCCCCCTCCACCTCTGACACAATCGCCATTCCAGGCGCCACCGGTGAAGAAGACTCGGACTCAGAATCTGCAGTGCCGCTTTGTGTTAGCATGGGCTTGTTTTTGGCCTGCATGTCCGAAATTGGTCGGCACGGAGATGAGAGTGGAGATCGCAGGCTTTGAGGTGGATTCAAGGCCCTTTCCTCTCGTGGCAAGTTCTGATCGAACATGCCACGGCACACATCCACCCATGCATACTAATCGGCACTGATGGATAAAGTGCCTTTCTGCTGAGTGTGAGGCTTGACATGCTGACAGCGAGAGTGAGACTGATGGTGGGTCAGTGAGCGAGAGAGAGAGAGAGAGAGAGAGAGAGAGAGAGAGGGGTGAGAGGGTGAGAGAGTGTGATAGTATCACTTCCCCTGAAATTTCCTGCAGAAGGCAGGCGGGCTTAACGGTTCTGGGGGCTCATCTCGCCCCTTATGCCTAGGAGAAGAAGAGAGTGAGAGGGATGATATATGTATATATAGTTGAGCATATATATATATGTGTGTATATATATAGTATGCACTTATTTATGTATTTAGTTGTTTATCGTTTGTGTTTGACTATGCATGATGCACTTCAGCTTTTGTTGATTACTATTATTAAACTAATGTGACTGCGCAACATACATACATGCATACGTTGGTGCGTACGTACGTACATACAGGCGTAAGTACATACGTACATGCGCACATACACATGCACATGTTAAAGGGTGCCACTTTTTGCAATGATGAACGTGTTAATCTTCTTCCATGAGCTTCTATCTGTGCACAAACCAGCACAAAAGGTTCGCAGATGAAGCGTCGACCGCTGCGTCCACACCAGAGATGGGCCCGAGCACTTCTCCTGAGGCAAGCCGGCAGTTGCCGGAAGGCTCCACGGAGCATGGAGTAACAAATCCATAGATGACACCCGGGGCTACATGAATTCAAAGCACAAGTTGTGCTTGAGAATGGGGTTAGCTTGCACAGTGGCAGCTCCGTAGCAACTTTGAGGTTTGACGTCCTGACACCGTATGGAGCATCACCCTAATGCTAAATGAACATGTGTGACTTTTTTGTCAAACTGTCTCGGCCGGAGCACGGGCTCAAAATCTCGTTTAGGATCCTCCTAGGTTCCTGATCGGGGCAAGATTGGATTCGGGAGACAGAGAGAGAGGCAACATGTCGGAGAACCTCGCAAGCTTTTCAGCTCGAAAACGGCCGGATCCAACTCGATGCTACAAATGAACACGGCAAAGTAGTGTGGTTGAGCTCGGTTCGTTCGGAAGTGCGCTAGGCGCGGGACCACGCCCATCACTCCGACCTATGGCAGCTGCCTATCAAGGAGTTGAAGGCTTGGCCCACCAGGAATTTGTACAAGGCTGTCCTTGTTGCATTCAATTCTTATCAGTGCAGGAGCCTTTGTGGCAGAGTTTTGCCGCTGAAGCCTGGATCCTTCTCGCGTGCGTAGTTGTGTCACCCGCAAACCCTAAAGCCTACGCCATGGGCTAAACCTGTCCACTTCCCATTCTGGAGGCGCGGCTGGAGTCCCAAGGCAGCAGCATCACTGGTGTCACCGAGCCCTGTCTTCCGCTCATAAGCTCGCGGTATGGAACCGTGCGACGGCAGCGAGGTTGAGACATCGGGGGTTTCAACTTGGTTCAACTTCCGCTTGCTCGTTCTTGTCCTGGTCCCCAGGAAAAGACGGAGTTGATCTTGATGCTGGAACAGCTGCTTCGGCAGAGTTTGGAGTTTTGAGGTTCACATCCAGGGCTTTGATTTCTTGTGCTCTTGAGGACCCCAGCTTGATGTGTTGTTCCGTGGAAAACCTAAACCCCTAAACCGTAAGCCCTATAAACCCTTACTGTATAGACTCAGGAGTTCAGAGTTGCATCAGCTCTACTGTATCACTGGGGCTTAGCTAAGTAGTCTATGGGCCGCCGTTCTCCGGTGCGTGCGTAATATAGGGGGGGTCGGAATATAGTTACCAGTACGATTCTAGTGGCTCCTTATTACAACTTGAGTATGCTGGGCCTCAAAACCCTATTCTAATTGTTACGTCCCCTGTAGTACATATCTGCGCAGCATTCCCTGTACTCATGGGTTCGTGAGGCTGAGCCCAGCGCCAGCCACGCAGAGCGTTCCGCCGTTTGAGCTCTGAGTTTTGTGCACATGCCAGGCATTACGCTATGAATTAGAAACAAACGGATGTTTGAGGGAAGCAAGGAACGATGCAGCCATGAAGCAGTACAGTCGATTCGCAATTCAACAACGTTAACAGCTTCCGGACTGTGCGCAAGGCCATGCTTTCAATGTACAGAAGTTTGGGGCCCTTCCCGGAAGGGACCCAACGGGGACAGAGCCAAGAGTGCCCAACGACATTTACAGAGATTTCCTGGGGTGTTCTTGGGAATTCACCTCGTTTCAGCCTTGCAAGGTGGCGTACACGGTGTACAGTATCCCTTGAACAACCAGATGGTCCACATGTTTAAATAGCAGACGGGCATGTCTGGGAGCAACGCACGGGTGAGGGTTCGCCTTCATATTGCCATCGATTTATCGGAGATTCCAAAGCCGGCATAACATGGGGCCGTAGGCTAGAAGTAATTCGGCATTTGCGCCCTTAGAGAAAGCTTTACAGGATCTTAGCCTGGCGACATGCTCACGCGCGTTGCGCCAAGACATCCCCAATCCCAATGCATTTGGGAGTTTCAGAGATACACGGAAAACTATCTACCCGAATTTGCAAATAGTCGAATAGAGAGCATGGTTCCTTTGATAAAGACACTCAACAAATAGGGGACCCCTTAGTACTCTGAAACCCCATGTGTACTGCTTGTCGTACGCTTAGCACCGACAGATTTCAAGCGCCGGCTTCGCCCCATTACCGAACGGGCACATGTTAAGTGACAACGACAGGGCCGAGAGCACGAACAACAACTTGAGCTGCACGGCTTTATGCCATGGGTTCAGGGTTTGGATCGTGGGGGCAGGGTTGCTTGCTGGGCCGTGCTGATGACTGCAATGTTATGGACATGAACGGCTTCCGGGGCGTGTAACCGTGTTCCGCGTCTCCTAATTGAGGCAACCAAGGAGTATGGGGTTAACTCATGCAGTGGTAGTCGCCTCAGTACCCATAGGCTTCATAGTAGTTCCTTTTTGGGGTTGCCTTATAGGATTCTAAATATGAGCCCCCAAAAGGAACTACTATGGAGCCTTTAGCCCAAAGGGTCCAAAGTAACTATATATTAGAATGTAGGGTTTCTATATTAGGAATTACTACTATGATTTGGGGAAGTATTCCCTATAACAGTACCTAGGACCCTTAGGGTAGGTATTGACCAGACTTGGTGACTGCGTTCTGCTCTGCGATTTAGCTGACTTCGCAGGTCGCCCTCAGTGGGCCTGGGGATCCAAAAACCTACCGTTTGAAGGGTTCTACCCTCTAACTAAGGGTTTAGGGTTTAGGGTTTAGGCAAAAACCTACCGTTTTGAGGGTTCTACCCAAAACCTACTATTTTGCAGGGTTTGGAGTCACAGGTAAGCAATCCTGCATGCCCGTTTGAGCCATCTGGTAAGCTCAAGCTCAAGTCGCAGTCGCGCCTGGAGAGTTCCCGCAAGCTTCCACCCGAAGGAGCTACTCGACCTCGGCAGATTCGCAAGCTCGGTTTTTTTGAGAATACGGTATTATCTTTCGGAGAGCGATTGTCGGCAGGATTGGCTTTGTCTTGGCCCAGGTACTGCAGGGAGAGAAGACTTCAAAGCTAGACCCTATATGCCCGACTAAACCCTAAACCCAAAACTTCCTAAACCCGAAGCCCTTAGCTGGAACAGCGTGTCAAACCCCATTGTGACGCACAAGCTGGGTGAAAATTCAGAAGCTCGACAGCCAGAGGCTAAAAAGGCGATGGTGAAGCGAGACCCTAAACCCTCAGCCCAAGGCGATGGTGAAGCGAGATGCAGCCCACCTGCACTCTGAGCACGCCGACGTGCACCAGGAGGTGGAGTCTGCGTTCGGGGTCCGTTTCAGATATCGAGTCTAGGGTTTAGGGGTGGATGGATGGATGAAGGTGGATGGATGGATGAAGCTTTATGGCACAGGAAGACACTTGTTTGTTTGCACGCCTGCGAGTGGGCGGTAGCGATTTTGCAATGCAAAAAACAGGCTAGAGTGGACAAATCCGAACCCCAGCTCAAGTAGTATGTCCGGCTTGGGGGGGCGGATTATAGAACCCTGCCATAAATTCCTTTTAGACCCTTTTAAAAGACCCCTCAAAGCAACCCTTGTTCTAATTATTAATTAAGGCCCCTAGGCCAGTCGAGATTCTGAGACCCACACCACGTCCAGGACTCGCATCCACCGAAGAAGCCGCAAGCTTGGAGTATTGTCGTCAGGCTATGAGCAACCCTAAACCCTAAACCCTAAACCCTAAACAGCCACGGAATGCTAGCATCCGACCTGACTGTCGGGCTGCCTCTAGCCTTCCAGATGCCTTGGCTGAGCCGGGCTTTCCCCAGGTACTAGAGGGCCCTCAATAATTAGAATGGGGTCTTGGGGCCCGTTAGAATATAATGATAATAAGGAACCACCAAAATAGTACTGGTAATTTTTTAAGCTTCTACAATAGTGCCTTGCTGGTTTGCTGGTGCACTAGTACTTGCAAGTTTGCAACTTGGCGTTCTCCTGGTTGGCTCTTATATAGGACTTTAACGTTTTGGGAGTTCTATATGAACCATATTCAGGATGCCGAAAGTGCAAGCTTTTGGAGGGGTTCAGAAGTCAGCCAAGGCAATGTCCAAAACTGGAGCCCTCAGCCTTGCCTTCGTCCTTGTGTTTCGGACAGTTCGTCCTGCAGCTAATGTAGGGGCCTTCATAAGTAGAATAGAATAGGATTCTGGTGCCCATTATGCTATACTATAATCGAAATAACGAGCCATCCAAATAGTATAGGTAATGATTGAGGCCCCTCTTTTACCAATCAACTCTTGCCGGGTCTTCCGTCACCTTCAGCATTACGGCCACTGCAGGCTCTCCACACCGGAGATGAAGCGCAGCGCGTCCCCGGAGGCGTGCACAAGAAACCCAAAGCAAAGAATTGCAATGCAGCAAACAACTGAGGCAGACCCTAAGCCCTAGACCCTATACACGAATGGCTACGGCTCAAGCCATTTTGGCTCAAGGCTCAAGCGTTTGGCTTATCAGGTGTTTCCTAGGTCTGGGCCTTTGGCGTTCCACGAGTACCCGATCAGCCGGACGGCCCGTTTCCCTTCGCCCCGACGGAGCTCCCTTGGCTGAACCTGGTGCCCCTCGATTACTCGATTCGCCGCTTCCTCTCCGCCGCTTTGAGATGGCTCTCTCGCCCCCTGGGTCGCCGACTGAGATCATCCGAGATGACGACGAGGATGAAGAACTGCAGTCGAAAGAAGAGGGCCTTGTGGGCAATGACGGAGATGTGGGAGGGAGTGCTCGCCGACGAGAAGACCCTATGCCAGTTGACGCCACGGGGGGTAGCCCTGGTCGTGGAAAGAGATCCCGGGACGTCGAACCTGAGCTTGAAGGTCGGCCCCGCCGTCACGGGGGTGGGAGAGATTCCCGACTACATGGTGGCGACATTCTTCCTGGCGCTGGACTGGATGGTGCTCCTCCTCTTCCTCGGGATGAACAACGTGATGCCGGGCTGCCTGTCACTGCAGGCGAACTTCAGCGACTACTCCAACTTCAGTTGGGGCCTATCACTGGCCTATCACAGCATCGTGGTCTGAAATGACGGGGCGTGTGAAGGACCTTGAAGATGCTAGGGTCGCTGACAAGGCGGAGTTCTCCACACTTCACGGCCGTCTTGCTCGCGTTGAACAAAAGGGGGCGACAGTTGAGTCGGACGTTGCCAAGCTGGCCAAAGACGTTGAGGAGCTGAAGAAGAAGCAGATTGGGTCACCCCTTCCCGCTGGTCCTGGTACTGGTAGTGACAGAGTACCGTCTGAAGCATGGTCCTGCCCCTGGGATGGCTTCGAACCTTGGTCCGCCACGAGGTCCCCGCGAGCCCTCCGCTGGGGTGTCCGGCCCGGCCGCCGCGATTGGAGATGAGTTGTCGGAGGAGGACAAGAGGACGTTGATCGTCGGAGGGTGGGCTCAGGATTCCAAGCGCCAGGTGATCATTGATGAGTGTGCTGGCTTCCTCAACAAGGCTGGGGTGACAAAGCTGTTGGACCAGACCGCCATTACAGTGTGGGGGCCACGCAGGTCCTTTGGGGTGCTCAAGTTTGTGGTCAGGGATGGTGAGACGGCAAAGGAAACTCGCGACAGAATGTGGGGCGTGATCCAAGCCGCCCGGGCTGAGCCCTACTACCTCGATTCCACCTCTGCCTTTGGGGAGAAGAAGAAGCTGTGGTGCAGTTTTACCAAGACCAGGGAAGCGCGGTGCAGGGGAGCTCATGGTTCCATGGTTCGTCGTGTATGTCATGGGATGGTCGCTGACGCTGCCTTGGCTAACGAGGCCCACAACGTCATGGCCAAGAATGAGGGATCCTATGAGGTCGATTGGGGATCCGGCACCGTGTGGATCGGGGAGTGGAAGCTTGGGTCGGCTACACATCGCATGCCCAAAGGTGAAGATATCCGACAGCCCAACTCGGGATGGATCGACATCGGCTCCATCTCCCGTGCGACTGGGGTGGCCTTCGACGTTGCGTTGGCTGCCTTTGAACGTGAACTGTGAAGAGAAGGAAACTGGTTTCACCAACAGCCTCGACTTGGGTGGTTCGTCAAGCGATCGCCTACCTCGGGGTGCACCAGGTCCCGATGCTCGACCGTCTATGAGGGTCTTGAGAAAATTTGTGTCGTGGAATGTTGCTGGCCAGAACTTGTCGAAGATCGACCTTGTTGCTGGCTCTTTTGACTTGCTTGCTGTCCAAGAAATGCCTCGTGGAAAAGTCGGTTGGGATGAACACAGTACTGACAACTTTGTGTGGTTTTCACATCAAGGAGCAGATCAGTGGAGAGGAGTTGGCATCGGGGTGGCCCGTGAGCTGTTTGACTCCGTCACGAACAAGACATCCTGTGAGCGTGGGGCCGCTTGGGTCGTGCGCCTCAAAAGCCATAAGCGCCTCATCTTATGTTCACTTCATTGTCCCACAGGGGGTACCGTGGCTGCCTACCACCGGGAGATCACGGCGTTCAAGCAGATGTTGCGACGATGGCATCCTGATCTTCCTGTCCTTGCTGGGGTTGATGTAAATGAAGTCGTGCGTTGGAACTCTGAAGACTCTGAGGAAGCGACCATTGCTTCAGGGGCGAAAGTCGATAAGACGCTTGAGGCCATGGCCACCCTGCACCTTCGCGCTGTACCTCCTCGTCTTGATGACCGTGCACTGCCCACACATTATCCAAGGGATGAAATGCGGGAGGGGCGCCACATTGATGCGGTGTTTACACGTCGCATTGGGGTGAGCAGTGTGACACTACGTCCTGAGATGCACCTGGAAATCAACAGTGACCATGCATTGCTTGAAGCACATGTCGAGATCCAGAAATGTCGTCCGTGCAAGTGGTACGACAGCAGACCGCGCTGGGTCGTTGGTGCAGAGCCCTTGCCTGAGGTCACTGACTTCGGGCACGTGGAAAAATTGGCGGTGGAAAGGTGCCGCGCCTGCAGCAAGTGCACCTATCAGGACGATGATGAGATGAAGGGGCTCATCGCTGGTGCTGGTGTGGCTGAGAAGAAGGACAAGTGGAAGATCGTGCACAAAGAACGGCGGAGTCGCCGCCGACGATGGCAACAACAAAGGACAAAGGATCTCCAACATCCTTTACGGTGATTGGGGTGCCTATCGTGCCCATAGAGCGACCCTTCGTCGCACAGCGTGGTGGGGTGAGCTGCTTACCAACAAAGAGAGTGGCCAAGTCGCTGGAGAAGTTGAGGATCACCTTAGCCAGAAATTTTGGGATGTTGCTCGCAATTGGGATGTTGACCTCCGACAGCGTCTTGATGGCATTGACCTCCGCGACGCTACTTTGTGGCCTGTCGAGGAGATGGAAGTGATTGCTGCCCTCACTGGGATGCGTGCTCGTTCGTCGGTGGGATGCGACAAAGTGTCCGTTGACTTGCTCAGGCGGATTGCGCTTGAACAACCGTCCGCCCTCTGTCAGATGTGCACTGATGTCCTGAGGGATGGCTGCCTACCGCCTAACTGGGGCGTTTCACTTTTGGCACTACTCCCCAAATGTTTGCACCCTCAACAGCCAGGTGACCTTCGTCCGATTGCCATGGGAAGTGCAGCCATGAAGATGATGTCAAGAATTGTCATGAACAGGACGTTTGGTCACCTCAGATCACCCTCTTGCTGTGCTTCGTCGGGGAAAGGCAGACAGCCTGCCGATCTTATTGGGACGTTCACCAGATTGCGGGACATTACCAAGGAGTGGCGCATTGGGGTCGTCGCTGCAAAGTTGGACGTGCGTGGGGCGTTTGACTTCATTGATCGGGGCTGTGTCGCGAGTTTCCTACAAGACCGCCTGGGTGACAGTGGGATGCCCTTTGAGCTCCGCTTCCTTCTGCTGCTCCTGGCCGAGAATGTCATGGTCGGGACCGCCCCTGGAGGCAAGACAGTCCGGGTTGATGCCAACCGGGGGATCAAACAGGGCAGCCCCGAGTCTGCAGAGCTCTTTGGGTTGATCATTGCTCACGAACTCCAAAAGCTACGTCTGGGACCCCTGTGGACTGTGCCTGGCGGGAAACTTGCTGACGTACCAGTCGATGTGGGGTGCTTCCAAGACGATATCTTCGTCTGGAACAGTGACATCAACAACCTCGAGAAGAACATTCAGGACACATCCCAAATGCTTGCCCGTCTTGGATTCAGCCTCTCCCCGAACAAGACAAGGATTATTGCCAACCGTCACTATAAGGGGAGGAGACAGATGACCGTTGATGGGACGAAAGTTGAAATAGCTGAGCATGACAGTTCTATCCGTGTTCTCGGAGTTGACTTCGACTTCGATGCCAAGACGAAACAACAGAGCCGCAAAGTGATGGGACGTATTTGGGATGCATTCCACGCCAACAAGGACATCCTCTGTGGCCATGGCAGCTGGGGTGCCAAAACCAAGATGGTACGCTCTTTGCTTGAAGGGACGTGGGCGTGGACAGCCGGGGCCCTTCACTGGGCGAAGGACGACCTCATGATGATCAATTCGATTCAACTCCGTGTCTACAGACTCGCTTTCGGTGTTCGGAGAGGAAGCGCTGAAAATTGGGTCGATTACAACACAAGGAGTTTGAGAACGATCCGCGCCTGGATGCAAGCTCAACGGGTTGAACGATGGAGCAGTAAAGTCTTGAGGTTGCAGTTTGCTTTGGTGGGTCACTGGTGCCGGAGGAAAGAAGGTGATCACGAATGCATGCCAGCTCTGATGATGGGGTGGAGAGACCTCAAGTGGTGGAGAGCCGAGCAGAAGATCAAGTCAGGGATGAGACATCCTGAACGCTTTTATGCAGACAACAGCGAAAGAGCTCTGGCTGAAGCCATTGGCCTCGAGTGGAAGAAAGCCACTTCCAAGCGTGAGGGGTGGAAAAACTTGCTGCCCCGTTGGTTGGAAAGTCAGGACGTTCGCTGGACAAGGGGTAGGCAACCTGCTCTTTCGGGTCGCTAGCATGAGACTCCGTGTTCATCCTGTTGTGCGTGAGGGTCGTGCACCTGTTTGATGAAGCCGATGACATGGGCTGATGTGGCAGTTTCGTGCTCGAAACACAACATGCGCAACTTGCACGACGAGCACCTTGTGACCTTGACAACCGAACTACGAGTGTTATGTGTACTACGATGCTTCTTTTACTTGGGATGATCTACTCTTTCGTTTCTTCAGTGAACTCCAATTCGCTTCGTGATGGCTCGCTGCATGTTCGTCCCGCTCTTGGCCGCTGCGCTGGGGTGCCTTCTGGGTCGCCTCGTCCAGGGTCGTCCTCCTCCTCCTCATCAAGCACATCGGCCAATGGAGACGGTGATTGAGGACCCAACGACAACAATGGGGGTGAATGGGCGGAACCACACCCTGAGCCAGCTGCAGATCCTGTCCATCAGTGGAACAACGAGTGGCCGGGGGCTTCCCACAACCAGAACCTTGGGATGGGTCAGTGGTCCCCGACGTGGAGCTGGACTACCTGGGGCGCCTGGACGGACGATCGTCATCAATGGGGATGGGACAACCGTGCCAGAGGTCACCCCTCAGGGACGTCGTGGTCTGGTTCCCCCTGGAGCAACCAAGGATGGCAAGATCGAGAACGATGGGGTTCTGCAACCGGCTGGTCGTGGCATGAACCGTCGCAGGGGGGGCAAGACTGGACGGACACACAGACGTGGGATGATCAACCTCGAGTCCGACTTCGGCCTGCACGTGATGTACCTCAACAACGAGCTGAACCTCTTGAACCGCGACGTGCACATGAACGCCCAGACCGTGAACATGATGAAAGAAGGTATTTGTGGGTCCCTGGTTGGGGTCGGGGTGCGCCGCTACATGCTCCTGAAAGAAGGGCCCGCGGTTTCTACCAAGGTGGAGGATGGGTTGATAGGCCTCGGAGTGACTGGGAGGAAAGGTGGCAACGAGGAGGGGGAGGTGAACAACGAACCGCTCGTCGTGAAGACCGCCAAGCACAGTGGTTCCAAGGGACGTTTCGACCTGCTGCCTTTCAGCGAGCCCAAGCCAATGGTGGGACGACCATTATTCATTGATGATGGTATGCGGGACTACCTTCGTGACCTCCTACGACGTGCTGATGCTCCTGTACCACCGGCGTCATCGCAGCCAATGAGCTCAAGCGGGGTGGCCCAGCCTGACGATATGGTACACCAAGTCTGGTCCTCTGGCTCTGATGGGACCTGGTCGTCACCGTGGTGGACTGCTGAACAGTGGAGGGAATGGGGTCGGGCACAATGTCGTAACATGGGGTTCAATGGTGCAGACTTTGCGGTGGACTGGTCTGGACCCGGACTCCCGGACATCGAGAACTACGTGAACATGTTACGGATCGGTACCACCTCCTTCTGCCGTGAAGCTGCATCGACGAGTACCACGACTACCACCTCGTCTTCCTCGACCAGCTCTTCTACAACCTCGTCGCCGGCTACGTCAACCTCGAGCAGTACGACCATGGAGGAGAGGGACGATACAACAACAGTGGAAGATGAAGTTGTTATGATGCAGACTGGGGCGGCAGCACGTCAGTCTGGTGGTGGACAAGAACCCAACGAGGAGGAGTCCGACAATGACAACCCTGGGGGTGGCAATGCTCAGTCCAATGCTACTGAGCGGGATGGTGAACCACCTCAACCTAACTTCTTGTTGACGGCCGACGAGAGGGATGAGCTCATGGAACTTGGCTGGGATGAGAGCACGGTGAACGACCTGAGCGAGTTCCTGTCGTACCTCCAAGATGTTCGGGACCGTGCCGGGGTGGATGCTGTGTCGTGGGCCCTTGGTCAGTGGGCTCACTCGCTCATTTCGTCGGAAGCAACCTTGGACTTGGTGCAGGACGTTCTTTTCCGCCGTGTACAAGGTGCTGGTGAACAACGGCCATGCAGAAGATGTTGGGATGAGAGGGCGGCTATGCGTGGGCTTCGCGGGGTTCCAAAAGGTTTTGGGGGCGTTCCACCTTCGTGTAGTACAGCGGCTTCTGCAAGATGTATGGCTTGAGGCAGCTGACGTTGGTGACCCTCCATACCTGCCTCCTCCTGGGATGGTCATCCATGGGGTCACCAACACCGCGTCGCTTGCTATGGACACCGCCAGAGCTCGTGCCCGCGCTATGATAGAACGGGCTCGGCAGAACAGGGGTGCTGCACGTGATGGTCGTGGTGGAGCAGCTCGTGGAAGTGGTGACCCAAGGCCTCGGGGTGATCCCGACAATGAGGGTGTTGATGACCGAGAAGCGGGGGATGAGACAACTATGATGCCGTTGACTTCGGAAGAGGAGATGATCCTTGGTGACCTTGGGGTGTGTGATGAACTGAGGAGCCGACTTCGAGAACTACTGCGTGGACTTGAGCTTCAGGAACAGAGGGATGTGGGGGCCGAGTACCGATGGGGTGTCCAACAAGTGCTTGAAGCCTCGGGGGCGCACAAGTGGTGGCGCGTGGGGTGGAACGCATCCTTCGTGACCGTGTTCGTCCCAGTCCAGCGATGTGCAGTTTTCCTTGCCAGCGCGTGCCTCCCTTTGGGGCGTTGCGCAGCCGTGTCGCTGGATGGATGGTGGAGTTCCAGCACCTCCTGGTCATGACGTACCAGCGCAAAATGGAGACTGCGCTCCGTGAGTCGATGGGATGTCCAGCCGGCTCCGTGGAGTTCGTTGGGCCGCTATTGGATCACGCTGATGTTGTGGGACGTCCTCGGGCCACGAGAGACGCGCCACGTGGGAGTCGGTCGCGCTCGCGAAGTGCTCGAACATGGGTCGAGCACGAGAACACCACCCGCCGATCTACCTGGACCTGCTGGAGTTTCTCGTCGTGCTCCAGCCGAACCTCCTGCACACTGGGACGCTGCATGACGCTGCGCTACCTGAACAGGGGGGTGTGAGCACGGTGACAGCACCCTTGGAGACAAGCGGCGAAGCCGCCTCTGCGAGTGGGGATGCAGCACTGCCAGACACACTGGGAGGGTCGGATGGTCAGGAAACAAGAGATGAGACACCTGGGGATCCTGCTGCTTCTGGTGTTTGTGGGGGTGAACCTGGAGGAGTACCTGCACCTGCTCAATCGTTCCCTCGTGCCATAGATGAGATGGTGCAGACTACGGACACGGATGGGGGTGTGCGCGTTGCCAAAGAAACTGTGTCTGGAGGAGAGGTGACCGTAGCTGCTGCCGGGCCCAGTACAACGAGAACAGAAGGGGTGGGCACTGCGGAAGCGAGTTCAACTGAAGACTCACACAGGGAGGGCATTCAGCCATAGGTAGTCTCTTCAGGACTGCTGTCCTTGTTGTGGGATGTACGAAGTTTTCTGGAGACGTGCAAGCCTCTATGAGGCAGGCCCTGCTGCAACAGAAAAGGTCCGCTGCACTTAAAAAAAAAAGACCCTATACACCCTAAATCCTCAACCCCTGAATTTGGGCATCTTTTTCCAACACCCTGGAGAAGACAGGCCCGTGACCATGCACACCACTCTTGCCTCTGGCAAGTTCCCGTGAAGGACCTCAAGGCCTCCGAACGCCTCAATCTGCAGAATAGGGGTTTCTTTAAGGGCTCCTTTTAGAGGGGTCAAAATAAGGGTTACTATAAAGGGTATTATGGGTTCGGTTGGGCTCAGACATGCCGTCATAAAGTAATATCAGGGCCGGATGACGAACCTCGTCAACACCCCATGATTTGGTACTTCGGTACTTTTTTCTGTGCAAGCCGCCAGACGTGACTATGTCCAGCATCCAAAGTCCTGAACCCTAAACTCCTAAACCATCCGCGTTTTGGTTTTGGCCTCTCACATGTCACTGTTGTGTCATGTCGCAGTAGCAATCCCGAACTCATGGACCCGTGCCTGCCTGTGTGCGAGTGTGCAAGTCGAAACCATCCTAGAATTTTGGCTCGAGCAGCAGCCATTGTCTGTGTAAATCAGGTCTTCCATATCCTTTGGACCTCATTGCGCTTCGCAATGTCAGCCTGGAAAGTCGTGGCACTTCTGGAGTTGGCAGCCGTGTCCGCCGCCTTGCGACATGGCAATGTGCTTGTTGGTCAAGCAGAAAGGCAGTCGCCGACTTGGCAGCCGGGGCGCGACATGACATGGTTGAACTCGTCCCAGCTGCAATCGGCGATGGTGGACATCGGAACGGCAGATGTTGCTGGATTGCAGCATGCTGCGGATCCAGCTTCCGTGGCCGAGCGTTTTTTCTGGGCGGCGCAAGGCACCATGATGCGAAAGTTTGCCGATGAAGCCATACCTCTGTATCTCAAACAGTTCGGCACCGCCGCAGACAAACGCGAGTACCTGTTCGCCATGGGGCTCCGCTGGTTGTCCGAAAATCGTGGTAAAGCTGTCGGTGCCGCCATCGCAGTGGTCGCTGGGACCAGCGCAGTCGCCTACTGGTACCACTCAAGGAGCGTCAGGGCGAAGGCTCTCCGGCAAGCACGCCTAGACATGGAGAAGCTCTCAACAGAGGAGGCCGTCTTGGCTATGGACGACGAGGCCCTAAGGTCAGCCCAGGCATTGCTGCTTGCTGCAGCTGTGCGAGGAGACTGCGAAGTGCGGTGGTGGAAGTCGAAGGCTCCTCGCCTCTCAGAGAAGGAGCTCTTTCAATATTTGCGCCGTCCAGAAGAGTCCCTGGAGGCCTGCGCCACGAAGGGGCCCATGTTGGCCAGGTGCTTTGAGAGACCCGTGCAGCAGCTGTCCTGGACTCGTGCTGAGGAGCTTGTGCCCCAACTAAGTCTTCTCGGCATTCACTGGGGCAACTACACCGTTGCACAGTCATGAGCCGCATTGGCCGATTCAGGGTCTGATGATCTAGGCAAGCAACGGCGAAGATCAGCATGAAGAGGTCCAGGACTGCAGAAGCAAGGGATGCTCGCAACAAAAGGAGCCCTCGACTTTGGATGTGAGTTGCCGAGCGTGGCAGACTAGATTCGTTTGTACTTGATGCGTACTTGGATCTCTCGCAGACTGACGTTACGTTCTGCTTCATTCCTATGTGATGCCACTGTAGTATGTTGAGACCCGCGAGTTCTGCGAGTCGGAGCAATCCTACGCTGCAAAGCCCCACAGTGGGTAGAATGCTCTGCTTGACCAGGCATGGCTCGCGGCCTTGGGTGCTGACCTCAAAGGCACCACGGGATGGCTCGGACGGGACGGCAGCAGTACTCGTGAAGCAGGGTTTGGAAAGGTAGGCTGCAGGAAACTGACGCATACTGAGCTACAGCATAGCGGGAACGTTTGGGGGATCGAGCTGTTCTTGGCTTGCCTGCTCTGGCTCTGCATGCTTCCGACTATTTATGGTGCATTCGACAAAGTGGGTTGCGGTTTCGGCTTGGCGCTTGTTGAGGCACGCTCGTGGCTCTGTCCATGCCCATAGGCCACATGGTAGTTCCTTTTTCGGTTTACCTCGGAACGACTATGGAGCCTATGGGGCAGGCATCACCGAAAAGACAGAGCTCATACTGCTGCTGGAGCAGTTCCAAGCTCAGAATGGCACTGCCCCGGGGATGTCTAGGGCAGCTTACTTGGAGGTTCATGGGTAGTTATAAGTAGGGTAACTATACTTATAACCTACATCAGGGGACTTATAACCCCACTTATAACTACCCATGAACCTCCAAGTAGATCTTGTTTGTGGAAAGGCTTCCCGTAACTCGGCAGGAATACAGGGTGTCAGAGCTTTCGGAGATGTCTGTTGTCCCTGACATGTTATGTTTTGCCAACATATGTCAAGGAGGCTCAATGCAGATCGAGACGACAGCATATAAGCCGTCACGATGACAGGTTGCACCCCGAGTTTGTGGAGGACATCTTCCCGCAAGCTCCTCACTCGAAGCCTTAAGCTCTGAAGGAAGCAGTACGAAAGGTCAGTGTACAGCCATCGAAGATCTCGCTGCTTCATTTGGGCCACGAGCGATTTTGCACTCGCGTTGTCAGCGAGTCTGTACAGTTGAGGGCGTCTGCCCGCCATCCTACAGAGCCATGAGTGCCTAAAGAGTGTAGGACCAAACGGTCCAAGTAACACTATATTAGGTAGTTGGCATAGTAGTTGGGCCCAAAAGTATAAACTATACTACTACTATACTAAACTATAGTATACCATATTATACTGTACTATACTAGTACTATCACTATACTATTACTTGGACCGTTTGGGGAGGGATGACCGGCTCGAGCGATCTCGAACGGAGCCCGGCCCCAAAGTTTCAAGAGCAGACAGCCTTGTCCTTTTTCATGGTTCCCCAAAAGAATAAACAGACCGGCTGGTAGACCTTCTTCAATATTTCCTACTAAGGGATATAGGTATGGGGCTCTGTCTATTGTTTCTAAAAGGACAAGGGTGAGAGCAGAAGGGTCTTTGCCAGCACTGAGCCGCGGTGCGAACGGCGATGACGAGAAGATGCAGTTGAGGTGTCGCGAATACCATGAGAGTCGTTTCTTTTTGGGATTACCTTATAGGATTCTAAATATGAACCCCCAAAAGGAACTGAGAGCATCAGGCAACCCGCCAGTTATGCAGCCCTTCACAGCTTTTTTCCCACGAATAATGTCAGAGACATGGGTGGTTGTCCAAATCATGGTTCCTTTTTGGGCCCCCGTAATATAATACGGCACCTAATATTTAGGTACCCAACAAGGGGCCATAATTTTGACAACTACCTACATGCATACGCCAGCGTGCTCAAAGGCGTGGCACGAAGCCCCAATTTATCCGGCTCTTTGCTTGTCGCCCGCTTGGCACCGACAAATTTCAAGTGTCGGCCCATGCCCCCCTACCGACCGGGGGATGTTAAGTGACAGCGACAGGACGGGGCGCAAAAGGAGAGTGATAGGAGGGCTGTGTTCTGGCTGGTGCTAAGCAAATACCCAAGCTGTAAACCCCTAAACCCTAGAAAGTAGGATCCTGGGATGGGACAGGTCTGCAAGAGCACAGTTACTTGATATGTTGCCAGATTACTTGTTGGTCGTACTCTGACTAGTCAAAGAGTGCAGTTTCACTCATGAGACTCCGAACCACATGCCTCGCCCGGATTGTCCGAGCGCGAGCGCCGAAACCACCCCAAACCTCTAAACCCTGAACCGCTGAGCCTTGCCTGCTGTGTGAGTGCGATCGCCGACACCCCTGAGCCTCTTAACCTAGGTTCCTGAGTAATCAGTACCCTTCTGCCCTTTTTTGTTTTGGGGTCTCCATATTTAAACAGAATAGTTGGAAAAGGGGTACCCTAATCACACAGGGGCTACTTAGGAACTGAGAAGTCGTAATCAAAATCGAGCTTTGGAGGACCCAGCCCAGGCGCATAGGTTTAGGGTTGGGGTTTAGGGGTGCGGCGGGGTTTATTCATCAAAGGGGAAAAGGAGGGACCCTCAATGGGGACCCCTACCCTATAATGGGCTATATAATGGGTATATAATAGCTATATTAAGGGTATATACCTAGGGGTCCTTACTAAGGGTCCCTCCTTTTACCCTTGGAATTGATGATGTCGAGACTTGTGCTTTCCTACATCTGTCTAGCACAAGGCGGAAGGCAAACCGGAATCGCAACAGTCACGCACATGTGGAGCAAGAGCGGGAACACTTCCGTTTCTTAGTCTTGTTGGCACCCATAGGCTCCATAGTAGTTCCTTTTTGGGGTTGCCTTATAGGATTCGACGTATGAACCCCAAAAAGGAACTACTATGTAGCCTCTGGGTAGCATTGAAAAATCAAGTACTGATTATGAATTTCATCCTCGTACCTGCTTCTCAGAGCCTCAAGAGCTATGTTGCGTGAAATCCTCTCCGAAGTGCGAGAGCCCAAACTGAATAACGGATGCGTGCTTGACGGGACCGTTGGGGTTTATCGCTGCTTAAATTTGACCCAGACACTTGCGCAACCTACACCCCAACCTCCGGGTAGCTCAAGCTGGGTTCTCAGTAGCCGGAAGCCAGTGCAGACGTCCTCGTGCCATCAGCACCTGGTCACGAGCAATGTTATTGTGGTTTGAATTGTATATTTCAATTACAGGGTGTCGTGCTTTCTGGGCACAGGTTTGAGAGGAAGGGCTTTGGCATCGGAGTCTTGTCCGAGTGGAAATGGAGTTGCTTGATCAGTGTAGTCGGTTTGCGATCCGGGTCTGGGCTATTATACTGTCCTACGCTTACCATATTCTGCAATACTAGACCTACCAGACTAAACCATACTATACCAGACCACACTACACCGTGCAAAACAACTAGATGATAATGTACTCCCTAGTATAGTGCCTACTACGGTAACTTAGGTAACCTTTAACCTTTTTGGGGTAGTATAGCCCCTATAGAATCCCTATATAACCAAAAAGGTCAACCTTTAGTTCCCATGATACCGGGCAAGCCTAAACCCTACACTCTAAACCCCAAACCCTAAACCCTAAACGTAGTATTTTTGTCGGGCCGGCCGGAGGCTTGAGAACTTCTTGCCTGGGCACACAGAGGACTTGTAGGTGGTGGGGCCTCCGAGTCTCAAGAGAACGGAGTGGCTTGATTGCTACCGTTTGCAATCCTCATCGGATTGATGTCCATCAGGAAATCCTGGCAAACACTTGAACAGTGTGAACAAGCAAAGGGCGCGCCAGGGGGCGGGGAGGGAGGCTTGTGCATAGAAGACACGAGAAACGGCTTCGCACAGAAAGAAGCAAGTGGGCATGAGGTCTGCATGCACACATACGCATATACTTATGTGTATAAGCATAAGTTTATGTACAGATTGACATTGTATGAGGTAGTATGTAGCGTAGTGTATCAAGATACTACAACATAACCTGGGATAGTGTAGTTATCGTACAAGATGAGATTGTATGATATAGTGATATAGTGGTGTAATGCGGTATACTACAATAGACTATAAGATCAGATACTACCAGGGTTATGTAATGTAACATGATGTAATGTAATGCATTGTTTTTCCAATAGTAAGGTAGCGCTTAGTATAATCTAAACATGTACGACAACATAACAATGTACAGCGCTTGTATGAAGCAATGTGATGCACGATCAGGCAATGCAGCATAACAGTGCATATAGTTCATTGGAATATACTACAAGATATCACGATCCAGCACAACACGACACAGCGTGATATGCTACGACACAATATACTAGAATCTCAGCTACGATCTCTACTTTGATACGGTGCAACGCAATAAACTCTAGCATACTGTACTTCAATACCACATGCTCAGTCTACAACTGTATAAAACACCGTAACACGAAACAGGTTCTTCAGAGAGAGTGTGAAACACAGGTTTTGAATACAGTAGAACACATTCGAATGATAACTTGTATGTTGCAATTTCACACAACATAATGTATTACCGCATGCAGTGCAAATACACTGCATGTAGTCTAGTTTGTACACTAAAATAAGACCCAAAGGCTCCATGCACCCATATAGTAGGTATTTAGGCCTTAAGGGGGTCCCTATATAGGTACTTTAAGGCCTAAGTATCTAGTATATGGGCACATGGAGCCTTAGGGAGAAGCAATACAGTCTGGTTTCGAGCCTAAGGCGATGGTGAAGCGTGATTCCGCACACTTGCAGTCCCAGCACGCCGACGTGCACCAGGCGGAATGGCAGACGTGGATGTGGACTTGGGTTCAATGCTGGGACACATATATGGGGACGAGAGCTGCCGAGAGTAAGCAGAATTCACGTGTATCACGTGTATTTGCGCAGCTGCGAAGTTTACACAGTGGATCACTGGAGATTCGAGCGTCGGGTTTGTGTGATCCAGACTTCTTATCTGACGACTTGATCCTCCATCCAGCTTCTACATCTGCAGGACTTGCATCCATCGAAGAAGCCGGGAACTTGGATCGTCTCCAGAGCTGCCCAGAGTCTCCAATATCCCTTAATTAATTAAGGAATCTACCATTAAGTCATAGTAGGCTCACTAATATAGTTTAAGGTGTATTCCTTGATTAAGGAATATATACCTTAGATTATACTAGGATCCCTATATAATATGATCTAAGGTGTATTCTCCTTATTATAAGGGATATTGGAGTCTCTGTCTTCGGAAGCCTTGAGCCATGACGACCTCGTCCTGGCTTTCAAGGTTTGCTTCGCACTCGCCGTCCCCGGCCTCACCTGAGCTGCTGGGCGCATGTAGTATAGGGGCCTTAATAATTACCTATACTGTTTTGGGGGGTTCATTATTATAATTATAGTATAAAGGTCACCAAAACCCCTTTCTAATCATTAAGGCCCCTATAGTAGTGTAACGGATCATAATCGGAAGAAGCCACGTTGAGAGCATTTTTAGACATGGGTTTGGCCCGAAAGCAGACGATGTCAGATAGGCGGGAGGCAAACCAAGCTGAGAACCGAAACCACAAGGACCAGAGTTCGCTTGTCTCGACAGCACGGGGTTGAAGCAAAGGACTACAGTCTAGGGTTTAGGGTCAGGATGATGCGATCGCAGACATGCAGTGTGACGGCAGTGTACTACAGGGGCGTAACTAGTTACAAAAACTATTTCGGGGGGTTCGTTACTATAGACATAGTATCACGGGCCCCAAAACCCATGGGTGTGTCAACGGCTCCAGAAGTCAGAAGCAGGGTTTTAGGGTGGTGACCGGGAGCACTGGCCACGAAACCCAAGCCCACCGAAGCATGCCCAGGCTTTGTACTACGCCAGAAATGAAGCCCAGCGCATCTCCAGAGGCCAAAAAGAGATCTGCCTGATATAGGGGCCCTTAAGGCCCGACATAGTTGCAAATACCTTAGCGGTCTGTTTATAAAGCATCCTTTTTATAAGCATTACTATTATTAAGGATCCCAAGACCCTGTTCTGATTATTAAGGCCCCTGTATTCAAAATCCATTCCCCTGAGGCTCCTAAGAGATCTGCCTAGAAATCGCTGACGGGCTGTCGGGAGCTGAGTTGGATTGAGGGTTTAGGGTTTAGGGTTTGATCTATTTGGGAGTGTCCGAAAAGAAGGGGTACCATATTTTAGGGGTCCTTATAATAAGGATCCTACTATTTAGGGTACTATACTAGGGTCCCTCCATTGTCGGACACCCCCATTTAGCAAGGAGGTTGGGGTGATGCAAGCACTGGAAGTAAGCAAGCAGAAAGACAAGTGTCTGGTCGGACGGCACTACAGTCTCCAAACTCCAACACTCCTAAACCCAAGCGGCAGCAAGACGCATGCAGACGGTCACAGGATGCCTAATTGAAATAGCTTTGACCAAGTATCGTCGTTTGGTGGCCTTGGATGTTTCTTCGGGTTGAAGGAACTGGCGGCATCATCAAACTTTCTGTGCATATCATATAGTTTCATTACCCAACATAATATAGTACAAAGGATATGTAACATAATATAACATAACAGAATACAATATGACATGATACGGTATTAAGTATTGTAAGTACTTCATTAGCTTATGTAGGTAGTACGCTTGATGATATAAATCCTGCAATACCCATAATAAGGAATATACCATAATCCCCAGAGTTTAGGGTCCTTAAGGTAGTGCAAGGCTTATATCATCAACCGTATCCTTCCCAGACGCATGGGAGATCGCAGGCTCGAGACCATGCGCACCACTCCTGCCTTTGGCAAGTTCCTGTGAAGGACCTCAAGGCTCTTCGTGTTCGGGGCTTTTAGGGTTTAGGGTACGGGGTTTGGGGTTTCAGGTTGAGGGTTTGGGGGTTTAGGGATTCGGGGTTTTTAGGGTTTAAGGTTTAGGGTCTGGGGGTTTAGGGGGCTGGGGTTTAGGGTTTGGGGGTTTAGGGTTCAGGGCTCTTAGGGTTTGGGGGTTTAGGGATTCGGGGTAGGGTATTTAAGGTTTAGGGTCTGGGGGTTTAGGGGGTTAGGGTTTAGGGTTTGGGGGTTTAGGGTTCAGGGCTCTTAGGGTTTGGGGGTTTAGGGATTCGGGGTTTTTAGGGTATTTAAGGTTTAGGGTCTGGGGGTTTAGGGGGTTAGGGTTTAGGGGTTTCGGGTTCAGGGCTTTTAGGGTTCAGGGCTTTTTGGGTTTAGGGGTTTAGGGTTTAGGGGTATAGGGTTTAGGGTTCAGGGTTGAGGGTCTAGGGTCCGGATCCTTGGCAACAGGTCGCGACGTCGTTTTCTCGCTGAGCCAGCAAGCCCAGTTTCAACAGTGTTTTGGGCGCAGGGTTTGGGTTTAGGGTTGAGGTTTGGGGACTGTAAGGAGGAGAATACATGCCCTAGTCTCGTGCCAGGCACTTGAGAGAGACATGCTGGGCAAGGTAGACTGAGGATGTGTATGGTCTGGGAGCAACAAGGGTTTACAGGCTTCCGGAGTGGTCCAGCCCCGGACAGACAGCAAACGACCGAGCATGTAAAGAAGCCACGGGACGGATCGCGAACCTTCCCAGACAACCACAGATAATTGCACATGATGTAGGGCCGGAACAACTAGAAATAGTACCTGCTCAATTCCCCTGATAGTCCATCATACAAGTAGACCCTATTGCAATCATGAAAGGACCTCATTCCGTTTAGAACCCTCAGGGCAGCCCTTACACTAGCTTTAGAGTTCAGGAATTCTTAGGCGTACTTAGAAATAATTTTTAATTTTTGGTTATTATAATCCCTAGAAACAGCTAAAATTAGAATTTTTGCTAGGGTTCTAAGTTCAGTATAGAATTAGGGTAAACCGTAAGAAGACGAGCGACCTCGGCCGGCTTGCCCGAGTTGCGAGAGCGTAAACCCAAAATCCTGATCCTTCAAGTAAGAAGCCTTTCTTGGGTGACTTTTGAACCCCATGTGTAGGAGGGAAAAACCCTAAACCCCCTAAAACCCTAAACTCTTTCTGGCCAGGCATGGCTTCTGGCATTGGGAGCCGACCTCAAAGGCTTGCAGATGTTCGTAGTTGTGTGTACTCCCCACTTGGAGGGTCGGGAGACTTAGTAAGGCTCCTGAGGGATCCTTCGAGGGATCTATAAGGGGATTATAGGGGGATCTACATGAGGAGTCGGGGAAGTAGGTAATAAGTAGAGTTATACCAAAAGGGATCCTAATTGGGTTAGGTAACTATAAGTCTATAACTCCCCATGAATAGCAGACAAGGGTTCCTGGGGCTCGTTTAGTATAGCTTTTGAGGTCCTCGGTGGTGTATTACAGTATAGCTATAGATGTCCCATAAAGGAATATCATCGTGGGTTCTTAGTACACCAGTGGATACTAGATGCTGCGCAGGACTCTTTAGCTGCTTGGAAGAGCAAGGGCATTCGTTTCAGAAATGTACTGTTGCGAGCATGCCAACGGCGAACGATATTCCAGCAAAAGTTATCTTGACGAAAATCAGCCAAAGCAGGTGTTGTACATGACGATGTGTGTGAGATTCGTCTGGTAGTGGTGGCACCAGATGCATGCTGGAATGCCAGCCCGCTCACTGGTTTTTCTGGTGTCGCCCACAGCATGTGTGTATAAGTCTCAAAGCAGATGTTCGCCTCCGTTTCCGGATCACGCCATCTGTCCAGGCGTCACCGAGAAGACCGAGCTGGTGCTGCTGCTGGAACAGTTACAGCGCTGCAAACTACGGGGTTTTTCGTCTCCAGTCACGTCTTGCAAGCTTGAGAGTGTTCGCACTGGCACCTTACAGGTCTTTTCTGGTTTTGACACGGCCCCATTGAAGGCATGATATTCTGAAAAGGCAGGACCTGACTTAAAATTGTGCTGTCCTTTGCAGTATCTCCGAACCTGTGTTCATGTTGCGATGCCGCTGGCAGTCTGTGGTGGCACCTGTTTCATGATCACTCTACATGAAGAGTAGGCCTAAGCTCCGTAATCCCTTCAACCCGAAATGCTACACTCTAAACCCTGTAAGCCTTCGACCTTAGACTCCATAGCCCCGCACCCCTAAACTCTAAACCAGTAATGCAGGAGCCTTCATAATTAGAACACGGTGCCCCAATATTTTATAGAATCCTACTATAGATCCTCTTACCCTTTAAAGGAACCATATTCTAATTATTGAGGCCCCCATATTTGTGGCCCCAAGAGGCTCAGCCTACCCATGGCTCAGGCTGCACCCAGAGTTTGCGGAGGAGATCCCGCAAGTTCCGGCCTTTGAGCTTTGATGTTTAAATCCTGCAGCACGACACGGAGACAACAAGCTCTATATGAGTCATATACATACATATACATATATATATATATGTATATGGATGGTTATATCACGTATAGGGTTTATACATAGTTGTAGGATACCAGAAATGCAAACACAAATGCATCTTCACAGTAGTTGAAGGGCCTTTGCTTACACAAGGAACCCAAGAACCCCATATTCATAAACGCCCTCTGAACTTTAAACTTCTTCTAAGACCTGCAGGCGTGTACAGCGAGCTTGCATCCAAGATGCGCTGTTTTCGGGCCGGCCTCTGCTGCCACAGTTTTTTCCGGAGATCGGTCCATGTTGATAGCTTTCCTAAGAAGCCTAGTTACCTGAAGAATGGCTGAACCCGCGAAAGTAGGTACATTAATGGCGCAATACCTCGAAAAGGCTACTATGCATCCATTTGGGGTCCGGGTAGATCTTTCAGGTTTAGGAGCTACTGTCACTACAAAACTTAAGGATAACCCAGCATGTCTGTAACTGGGCTTCTGGGATTTTGCCAAGGATGAGAGCAACAGTCCATGTGTACAGACCTGCAATATCCCAAGCATCCTTTGGCCATAGGCAGCAGCTCACGCACGAGTCTGGTTAGGGAGCCTGCTTCCATGTAGTTGTGTTTGTGCACTTTAAGCTTTGGGCATGTTCTGATTTTGCAAGCTACTCCAACCGGGCGAAAGCTGTGGACTAGCGTTCCTGCATTGCCAACAGATTTCAATCCAGCGCATCTCGTCGTATGCCTGGCGCTGGCAGCCTTTCAAGAGCCTGCAACAGTCGCAGCACAGTTAGCGCTGAGCGGAAACGCCGAGAAGTCGAAAACCCCGCTGTTCTGGGTCTACAAGACCTCACAAGAGCCCTCGAAACCGGCATTACAGCTCCAGTGCTCGATGATGAACCGCAGCCAGGCCGTGGTAGAAGGGTGGGATGCTCCCAAAAAGACATACAGAGTGTGCCTCGACGTGGAATCATTTCCATTGCATACAGACCCCCGGATCCACGCTCACCCGACTGTAGAGCCTTGAACCCTCTGCGCTTAATGGGCATCTTCTCGATTAAGTGTTATTTATATCCAGTAGCTGTGTGTGTGTGCGGACAGGCTGAAAAGAACATGGAAGCAGGAGAGAAAACGCAAACCTACGATAGCTGGCATGCTGATTCGTCGGTATGCCGCTAGATTTCTGGCTTCCGAAAGAACATAGAACAAGCTGAGCAAGTCTTTGAAGATGGCCACGAACTCCTTTGCCACATGTTCGAACGACGCAGGAATGCCTTTCTCCTCAAACTACCGGCAAAGAGACATTTAACAGCTTTCGCACGAATCGAAACCTTACAGAGCTAGGCACGGTGAGCCGTACAGACTCCCGAAAGCTCGTGCATGAGAAGTCCGAATATCCGACTGGATTGCATCACTCAGAATCATGAGGGCTTGGACTCTCCGTTCTCGAAACTGCCACCCTATAGAAGCCCTGAGGCCGACACTCTGAACCCTAAACTCGCATCATAGAGGCATCACCACAGCTCGTTCCAGCATCGCAACCTCGGAAACCCATCGCATTCTCCCCATGGACTCAGGTCTCCTAAATCCGAATCCCTGACAGGTTCCCGGAGCGGTAGTCCTGAAGCCTTTGAAAACTCTACGAAAGCCCTGTACGAATCCTGGAATCCTTGAGATCGCACAAAACCCCGTCAGGAAAAGCAACCTTAGGCATAGGGGCCTTACTAATTACTATGGTTTAAGCTATTCAGGGGTAACTGGGCGTCTTTTCTCCGCCCTTTGCCGCGTCACGTTCGATCATGGCCAGCTCCTGCTCACCGAAGCTGTCGCTTGAAAGCATCCTGGCAAGAACGCCTTCGAAACCGGGGTTTTGATGTTGCAGTACCAGAGTGCACAGTATTCCACATTCTACACGACTACATAAGTAGATTAACGTCGTATAGTAGCGACGGGAGTCTTGATGATGGCACGGCAGAGATCGGCAGAGAAAGATTGCGGTTTGTACATAGTATCTTGTATATAGCATATACCAGATAGTATATACGATGTGTGTCACAGATGAGTTTTACTACGTTGTGAATGGCTCGGTCCCATAAACCAATATATGTATGTATGTATGTATGTACGTACATATGTATATATATATATATACATGTGTACTGTGGAGGGTGTATAGTACGAAGTAGTATATAGTATGGTGTACATAGGCCATAGTGTATGGTATATAGTGTGCAGTGGGGTATGCAGCATACAACAGCATGTAGTACTGTCCCGGCAGTACATAGTAGGCATCCCGTCATATGGCAGTTTCCGAAAATTAGGGGTACCTTATTCTGGGGTCCTCATAATAAGGATCCTGTTATTTAGGGTGCTATATTACTGTCTCTATGTTGAGAAACTCCCATTTAGGCAGGGGGCTGCTTGTTTTGTGTCTTTGGGCTTGGCATGTAGACTGCTTAAGGGAACTTCGGGGTCCCACCAGGAGAGCCACCCTACCCCTTAACTAAAGATGATACCTTAAATCATTGGGACCCGATCATGCGGGTGGTGGGAATATCGCTTGCATGAGGAGTAGTTGGGCCCAGAGCCAGCTACATATGCTTCTAGGGTTCTTCAGGGTGATTCTTCAGTATTATCGTAAATTTTGCCGGCATGAACTGCTGTTAGAGTTTGGTGTATCAATCAAGAACCAGCTCTTTGAAAGCTGACAACGCTTGGGGCTTCGATTGGGGGATGCGGCGTTTGGGACCTCAATCCTAGGCACGGGCTCCGAGCAGACGTCGCCGGATGATCGGAGGGAGGATGCAGAGCTCCAGGCTGCACTCCAGCAGGCTCAGCGGGTTCCTTATTAAGTTAGAGTATAATGGCCCTAAAAACCCTATTCTAATTATGAAGGCCCCTGTTTTCCTAGCCAGGTTTTGTCATCCTTGCAAAAATATAACCGTCTTTGCTGATCGGGGTTTCCAGCCAACTCAGCAGAAGCAGTTGGCTGCCATGGTAACCCCAATCACTGATCGAGTTGGAAGAAACTTCTCCACGGGCGACGAACCTGATGCCTTGTCGGTTGTCGACCCTCTTCGAACATTCCTAAGGCACTCGACCAGGCTGAGTCTGTTATGGCTATCAGCATTGAACCGTCACTGCTTACCTGCATGCTGCGTTGACTTCACAACGTGGCTTAAGAGGCTTCGCATATCGCAGCTTTCCTCTGGAGCCACAAGGTACAAGATTTGGAGAGCTGCAATCGCACCTGATCAAGATCAGACCGAAGTTCGTTTCCTCACTTCTCCTTGATCAGCCCGCTAGGTCGGATCATCGTGGAGTAATTAATAACTGAACAGCTCCTCGTAGATTTCTGGCACTGGCTAGATCTCGTCTGAGATCCGGTACTTTAGACGGGTGAGTTCCGGATCAGAAGCTGCCCTGTTCATGCAATGCTACCAAATGCTCTTCTGTTAAACCCTTGTCAAGGTTCCACGATGTCTGAAGGCATAGGACTTCCATGCACGTGAAAACACCCTTTATCAGGAACGACGAAAGCTTCAGCAGGAGGCTTGTGGACACATCTCAGAAGGACTCTAGTCTCTAGTTTCTTTGCCCCCACATCTCGTGACAGTTTGGGTCTCCACGTTTGAAGCTTTCTTAGCGCCTGATTTTTGCCAACCTGTAGCACATGTATCCGCTGTTCGACGTGAACGTCGGCTGATCCAGATGCTTTCCGGAGAGATCCCTTTGCCGTCGCGCTGGGGCAACATTTGCATCCCCCGCCCTTTGGGTTCGGTATCGGCTCACTTAGGGGCTGTAGGCGTGTGATCCTTGCCGTACTTGCCAGCATTCTCCAGTCCATTGTCGATCCTCGCTTCGCACCACCAGCTTTGCTGAGTAATCCCATTCATGTGCTTCATCAACTACCGCTTGTGAAGGCCCTATAGCAGTCCCATTAGTGCTGCCGCTCGCTGCTAAGTTGATCAAAGCAGACAACGCTTTCTCCACGACAATGAGAGAGATGTTCACAACCCCCTTTTTCACCAACTCGGCAAGCTATGAGCTCTTTATCACCGTGGCATCCAGACTGTGAACTGCTAGTGCAGGTAAGTTGTGCTTCAGCTAGCCATCGCCAGTGTCACAGTTCCCGATTCCTAGAATCCAGCAAGAAGCACCAGCCGTCCTGTGTGCGACCCTGCACCATCTGGCGCCTAGCTCGCGTCAGCGTAGCCTCTCAGCCCAGAATCGCCAACAACAGAAGCTGACTGCTCATACCGGGCTGTCGTAACCCGGGGCGTTCTGAAACATGTGCACTGGAACTTAGCCACAACAGCTTCCCGGTGGCGCGTTGTGCCGCAGGAACGTCACCGTCATCAAAACTTTGGATCCCTTCGGTCACAATGAAGTTCGCTAGGTCCATCGAAACTGGACCAGGTGACGTCACTTCTCTAACACCTGAGCAAGACATGGGTAGTTTTAAAAATTATGTTGCGAACCCAAAAGAGGACCATAGTTCTGTTAACCTCCCACATGGAAGTTCCTGCAGGACCTATGGGTCAGGAGCTGCACTTCGCTCCCCATAGGCCCCAAAGTAGTTCTTACCTTGTAGGGTTCTAAACATGAACCCCAAAATGGAACTACTATGGGGCCTATGGCCAATTTCCCGAATTGCTTGGATCGCAGCTGCAAGCTCCTTCATGGTTTTAGCCAGAGGAGAACGTCGTCAACGTAAATGACAAAGGTCCCTCTGAGCACGGTGATGTCCTGCATCGTGGGGCACCAAGCCGGCTACACGTTGGAGCAAAGTCACTCGCTTCCCCCAAAGAGTCCAAGTACCATTACAGTAGGTACTTAGTACCCTAAAGTATATACTATATGGTTACTTGGACCCTTTGGGCCCCGTCAATAATGAGTTGCACCTGGGCCAGTTTCAAGTCACGGTAGCATCCCCAGCCTTCGAGCAGTTGGCCAGGGCGGTTGCTGCAAGACGCATAAAGGCATAAACATCCTGAGGGCTGTGAGTCGGAATGCTCCCGCAGATCGCAATCTGGGATTTCCGCTTGCAGAACTCCTTCCGCTTCACACCCGGGAGCACAGGACCAGGAGGTTTTGTGGCGAGCGCCAGCTCATCCGTGAGCTGCTCACGACCTGAGCCAGAATCTTCGCGAACTTAAGGATCATTTGTCAACAACTTGTCCACCATGATCTAGCGGCCCAACTTCCTATCATTTGGCCCAACGGGGGGTATGCTGACAATGGACCCACAATGCTTGCCAAGAGTTCCTTGAAGCCTGATGCGGCCTCAATCGCCTCCTGCGAAGTCCAGATGCACCCAGCCAGCACGAAATATCCTAACCGTCCGGTTCTTCATGACGTATACCAGGGGAATCAAGTGATGCTGGAGACTCCACACCCAACACAGACGCCAAAGTACCAGACAAGGAACTTGAAGAAGCGGTTTCTGGTGTCGAGATCCACGAGCCGTATCGGAAAAGATGATCCCTAGCGGACGTTGGCATCACCTCGGGCCACCCTCTGCCTCTAGCGGGAATTTCCTCAATCTCTATCTCCTTCTTCCGGGACACACATTGCTGTAGATCTCTGGCGAAAGCTCCTCCTCGAAACAACAGACCAGAAACCCTTTCCCGGTCAGCTCGATCTTCCCTTCCAAATCTACGGTGTGTGTAGCCGACCTCAGTTTAGTGGCGGTTCCGCCATCGATTGCCGAGCACGTTGTCATTTCTACTTTTGCAGAAGAGATCACAGCCGTTCTGTTGGTGCGGTAGTTATCGTGCAGGTGTCCGGGATTCGATGACCCGAGGACTTCTGAAAAAAGATCTCCTGTGCCGTTGCGTATGTTGCCAGGTTACGTGTGACTGCTTTGGCGGCTTAGGGGTATGAAGCTTGAAAGCGTAGGAAGGACGGATGGCCATTCAAGCCAGATCTGTGCACGGCCTTAATTATTCGTGAAGGCATCGGATTTGGGAGGTCGCTGATTGCGTTGTCATGTTTTCGAAGTCTGCCAGCGTGCTTGTCATGCTTGCGTAGTCTGCGTCATGCACAGTGCGCGCATGCACAGTCAAGCAGCGGTGGCAGCCAACATGTTCAGGGCTGAGCAAGTGGCTGTCGGAGTTTGTCTGCTGCAGGCCTGCTTCACTCACATTCTCCATGCAGCTTGCGGTGCGCCATGCCATGCAAAAGCAGGCTAGAAGTTTCTAGATGGCCAGGTGCTCTATAATTATAAGTGCATTTCCGTTGCTGAAAGATTACATGCTGCCGCCGGTACCTGTCGTTCGAGGGTTGAGTGCGCAGCTACCTCGTGCCATGGAGCAGGGGCATCGTCAGAATGCCCAAAACTCTGCAGAGATGGAATGCAAGGAGTTTGCACTTCTCATCGGGTGGATGTTGGGCTTCGCCGCATTGAATCTGGTCGACTTCGTGACCGACATTCTGGTTTTGTTGAAGCTCACCTGTGTTACCGACTCGAGCATCAAGCAAGAGTGCGAATACTCCAACTTCACATGTAAAGACGGTGTGTTTTGCTCTTATGCCAATGTCACGTACACGGGCGGCCAGAATGAAGACAAGTGCGTCGTGCACTCCTTTTGGAGTCTTTTTGGCTTGGAAGCTTTTAAGTTCAGTAAGCTTTCCGATTTTTGATGGTAGAACTCCGACTGCCGACGGGTCGCCAGTCCACTTGACGGCGGAAACACTGCGGAGCTAAGGTAGTACTCCTAGGCTCTTCAGCAGCCTCTGCTGTGGCTTATCGTGCTTCTCTCCGGGTCGAGCCAAGCCGCAAATCAATTTGGTGTGGTTTTGTGGCAGCTTTCTTCCAGATTGCTCCACTTCTGGACATTATGCGCGTGGTTCGGACAGGCAAGCTGGAAGAGAAGAGAAGGCAGCAGATTCTGCGCCGAGATTTCGTTCTCAAGCTAGCAGAGTCGGTACCCCAGGCTTTTTTGCAGTCATACATTATGTTTGCTTCAGCAACGCACGTCGAGCCATTGAATTTGCTGTCCCTGACTACCTCTATACTTAGTGTTTCTCTGTCTCTGGCACTGCAGCTGCCAAAGATAACTCTTCCAACCAATGCCGCTCGGGTAAGTACAGACTCTGTGCCAATGGCTGCCGATGCCCCATCAGAACAGCCTAAGGATCAGGAGGATGCTGGGAAGAGCCAGCAGGGCGGTGAGCTCTCAAAGGCTTCTCCGGATCCGTCGCCTTTGCACGAGTTGGCATCGTGCAAAGCCACTCTTTTTGTATATTTGTCATCGGACTTGGTCTTGCGATGCGGGGCCTATGCAATGCTTTTGTCGCCATTCGCAAGACGCCTTGGGTTTGCAAGCATCCTTGGCTTCGCCGTTTGCCAATCTGTAGCGGGGTACCGGTCTGTTTGGCGAAGGCTCTTGCGAGGAAAGCTGTTCCGATGGGTTGATGTGGACAAGAATGCACCACAAGAGCCCACAAGCATTCTTGAGCTGGCCTGTAGCCTCTCCCTGTCGTTCGTGATTGGCTTTGCCCTCGCGTACACGATATTCTTTATAGGTTCTGCAGCGGTATATGTCGTTGGGTTTTTTCTGTTCTTTCCGGCGTTGGTCCTATCAGCGGTGCCGGTGGTGTTGACCTTCGAGCGGCCACACCGAGACAAGGCAGGCTTCATCGGCCTACGTTTTCTTGAATATCTATGCTTTGGCAGCTTGAGTGCAAGAATGAGGACGGTTTGTGCTAGTAAGCTTTGGGTTGAGGGTGTCAACGGAAAATTACCCGTATCACGGTTGCGCCATGTTGTCCTCGTGCCTGGACCGGGTCATAAATGGGGTTTCTCCATGTCTGTACGTGCGATCTGGGCTTTCCATATCCGTACGTTTGCATGCCAGGATAGCGTAACTGTAAGCTTAACAACTTGGAACCGTCAATGTGTTGCCTGTTCCCGCACGATGAACCAGTTCCTTTTGCACTAGGCTTTGGTATTCTGACAGGACGCGGGGGGGTCTCTAAAATCGTGCCTGCGTCCACCCAAGGCATCTTGCTGTCAGCGAATGGGCGGACATTCTGTGGAAAGCCACTTGGCTGGGAGCCTACCGCCTTCTTTGCGGTGCTGGGGCTCAATCTCGTGGCTTTATTGCTGCATCTCAGCTGCAAACTTCCTTTCGTATCCCACAGCCGAAGTGAAAAGATAAGTCTCTTTTCAAGGCTGATCTGAATTCAAGCCGGAACCCGAGGTTGACCCGATTTGAAGCACTTCACAACCACTGGACAGCAAGGTCTGTGATGTTGTGGTATGATGTTGCACAACAGCGATGCAGCACAACAGTAACACAGCGCAGCCGCAACACGGCGCAATAGCAGCACAACACAACCGCTAGGGCAACACAACAGCCTCACCAGCAATACAACAACGGCAATATAGCAACAGACACCGAGACACAGCAACTGCAACGCTAACAGCAACGACAACACAACACAGTAACGGAGCAACAAAGCAGCAGAGCAACAGCGACAGTGCAACAGCAAGAGCAAGGACTCCGACGACTACGACGACCTCAAGAAGCAATAACCGATGACAACAACGAAAGCCTTTGTGGGAACCAAGCGTGGTGCCACCACGACTTCATCAGGTCCTAAGTATTCCTTCGCTGAGCTTCATTCCTGGGTTCGCTATAATGGCTTTATCGGTTCTGTACTGTAGGTTTCCTTCTGAAGCAGTGTTTCCTTCCTGTCTTGCCTGCCTAATTAACATTCTCGTGATCGCGCTTGCGGAAAAGCGGTTTTCCCAATGACCAATAGGTATGGCACAATTCACTATAGCCCAGTCCTTCGCTGAAGCACCTTGTCCCGCAAATATCGGGCTTACAGCCCCAGTGGCAACTTACTTTAATTACGTCCCACATCAACTAGGAGCATGAGTACTAGGACTAGTACTAGTACTAATCGTTGTAGCACTAGCAGCAGCAGCACAAAGAGTAGGAGTAGGCGTAGGAGTGGGAGTAGAAGTAGAAGTAAGTAGGATTAGTAGTAGGAGTAGTAGTAGTAGTAGTAGTAGTAGTAGTAGTAGTAGTAGTAGTGGTAGTAGTGGTAGTAGTGGTAGTAGCAGTAGTAGTAGCAGTAGTAGCAGTAGTAGCAGTAGTAGCAGTTGTAGCAGTAGTAGTAGTAGTAGTAGTAGTAGTCGTAGTAGTAGTTGTTGTTGTTGTTCCTATTCACCGACCCTGACTGCTGCAACTACTGGCAACAGTCGCTTCCCAAAGTGTTTGTATTGCTACGATGCTTAGTTAGATTACTGGTGCATACATGCGACTGCAGAAGCAATCTGTGGTCCTTTTGTGTATACTGCGAAGCTACTCCTGCGACGAAGGGCCTTCATGGCAGCGTCACATCCAGGCATCCGTCGCCACCCCGGCAACACACACTGTACAAGCACAAAGCATGGGCCTACTGCGCTTCACATCACATTTTCTTGCTAGAAACCCTCCGCGGACCCTGGGTCTTGGATGATCTGAGGCTGAAAGACATGGAGGCCAGGCCCAAGCGTTTGCTTGCGGCGTTTTCGTGCGGGTTCGGGTCACTGAGATTCCACGACACAGAGTGAAACCTTTTCACATGAAAATGGGATTGCCATACCCATAAACTCCAGAGTAGTTCCTTGTTGGGATTACCATCTAGGATTCTAAATATGAACCCGTAAAAGGAACTGCTATGGAGCCTGTGGGTATACTGTTTGCAATGGTTCCTCCTTCTCAGTTTCGGCTTCGTGGCCTGGCGGGTTCAACACTTCATGTGTGGAGCTTGCCGTGCACAAAGATTTTCCGCTGTGAGCGAGCCTTGTTTGGCCTCGTAGCTGCATGCCCCAGCTCAAGCAGAGCAGCTTGAACTACGTAAGTCCAAGCATGCATAGTTCGCCCGTGCGAGAAATCTGTTACTGTCATTGAAAGGCTTTGGCAATGTGGTACGTCCGGTCAGCCTGCTCAAAGAGCACCCCTGGCTAAATACATGAAGACATCGCAGTGGAAAACAGCCCGCCAGCATTGTCTTCTTGGACATTGATCTATTGTCGCTTGCACGGTTTAGGAGTTTAGGGTTTAGGTTTAGGGGGTCTGCCGAACTTCCGGCCGGGAATGATATGCTGAGTTCGCCCCTGTCTAAGCTAGAGTATGCTAGGGCATCGGCTCTAACCGGCGACTGTAGGTTGGTTGCCATTTGGTCGCATCCCCTGTCAGAGTGACAGGCTAAGAAGCGGTATTTTCCACGGAGCACTGCGAAGGCCCAACTTCCCACTCAGCCGCGGAATGTAAAACTCGACATCATCCGATTTCGCAATGTATGCAAGATCGATGGATGAAGGCGGGTCAGTAGGATTGCAGTCTATGCCAGCACCTAGATAGGTTTTGGCTGCTGGAGCGGAAGTTGTCACAGTGGCAAGGAGAGACCTTATATTTTGAGTGTGCCTAACGCGGTGTGGGTCGAAGGCCGTGACCAAGGCCGCTCCAACACCCTGGTTAGAGTTTCTAGGGATATGTGATGTGGCTTTTGCATATGTGTGATCAGTTCGACGGAGCTCTTTTGTCCATATATAATCTCATCGTTTGGGACTTCGGTTCTTTGTGAAAAACAGGGGGTTCTGTTGGCTTGCAGTCACTAATTACTGGTCGTCCATTTTCGTGCTGACAAGTTGCGTGTTGCTCATTGTCCCCATCACCGAACCAATGCCCAACCTCCGGACTAATTGCAGCATGACATGACAATTTCGCCAGCCTTTCTGTACAAGGACAAGGGTTGCAAGGCCGCCCGTGCGCTGCACAGCTACTACTGGGTGGCGCTTGTATTGTATCTGCTGTGATCCATCGGCATGGCCAGAACGCTCACGTATTTTCAGAGATGGAAGTAAGGCAATTTATTCCGCCTGCTCTGTCATACATTTTTGGCTGTGCTGCAGTTCACTTGCATCACCGAGTCGAGCACTCAAACTGCAACCGTTCCAAAGGTGAAGCTCCCGACCAGGAAGCTAGCACCACCCTGTACACGACGAACAACGCAAATCATGCAGTGCCACCGCCCCTGCCCCCTGCGCCATCAAATCCTGAAGCACTATTCTAAGTGTTGTTCCCTCCGGGCTCAGCAAGGACGGCAAAGAGCCAGATCGGTTGTGTCTGTGCGAACCTGCGGCCGGCCTCTGCATTCCAGTTGACCGCTGTTGAGCTTCCGCTTGTCGAGCTTCAAGGTCCACCAAACAGTCTGAGTGGAGCACGGAACTCGTTCCTTTTTCGTTTCCTCGGCCGTCCACACTCGCTTGCGGGTGCTCCGATGCAGCTGCATCACGGAGATTCACTTCCTCCGCGCAACCATGCATCTGAGCCGCTTCTTGGCATTTTCAACCAACTCAGCAGAAGCTCTAAGCCCTGCAGACTGGAAAGGCATAGGGGGGACACACTCCAGCTGCTGAGAACGGGGCAGTGAAGGTTTGAACGGGTCGGTTGATGGCCGCTTCTACTGGCAAGGATGTGCTGGAGAGTTTGGAACACACGCTGTGGTCGCTCTGTTTCTTTAGGAAAGAATCGCCGATATTCGAATTTGTTCCAAAGTGAACATTGGAGTTGTGCTGTAATGTGTTGTGTAGTCTGGCAAACCTCGTCTGATTTGTCGAGCACGAGTGACAAAAAGCCCTGGCAGAGCATGGCAAAACCAGGCATTGATCGAATTGGAAGAAACTGGAGCAACGAGCGGCAAGGAACAGCTGATGCAGAGCCGATGACACCCTTCCCACTAGTGTTGCACTCTTGCAAAGTCAAGCCGCCTGTAAAGTTGAACCTGATGCATGAAAGTCCTTTGCAATGCTTAGCCGCATGCTGCGTTGACTTCAAAAGGCGTCAGAGGCTTGGCAAACCGCAGCCGTCCCTCACTGTAAGGGTTGCTTACTACGAGGGCGACATGACTGTTTGCGTTTAACCTGGAACTCGCAGCAGGTCAGTCTGGATGGAAGCTCGGACTGCCAGGCAGCTGCCGAGAAGGTTTAAGGCTTAAGGGGTTGCAGGGGTCGAGGCCCATGCAAGCCAGTTGCAATAAAAGGCGTGTAGGGTTTAAGGGTTCAGGTTGAGGGTGTACCTAGACCCCCCCAAAATACCCTTGATTGTAGCCCCAAGTTACCTCTTAATGAGAAGTATTATAGTCCTTTAAAGGGTCCTTGGGGGGTTCTGGTAAGGTATTGAAGCTTTAGGTTTAAGGTTTCAAGGCTCAAGGCTAGAGAAAGGATTGGCGGTGTATCATGCTGGAGTTGTATAGGGTCTATAAGGGTGGTTGTCAAATTTAGGGTCCCTTTTTGGGTACCCTAAATATTAGGTGCCGTATTATAATAGGGACCCAGAAAGGGACCATGATTTTGACAACCACCCATACGGCAGGAGGAACGACTCCTAAAGTAGACCCGTTTGCAGAGGATTGTTCAGGGCTGGAGCTCAGACGATTTCTAGCTCGAAGCTTGCAAAAGTCTGGGTGAAGACGTCTCGTATATCCTCGGATTCAAACTGTACGGCTTCCCCAAAAATCAAAATTTTACCAATATTCCCCAGGTATCAGCCCGGAGCCTGAACTGCAGGATGTGTCGACTGCCACCTGTGGGAATTCATTTGGAATGTCACTTAACACCCTGCCTAGCGACTCGTTCAGCACTGCAGGAGGCAAAAAATCAATTTGAAGGCAGTCGACCCTCAATCCCGACTGGAGGCTTGTGTCGCTCTCAACTGACACCTCGCATGACCAAGTAATCATTAATCACTGCTGTCCACCTCTTGGGGCAGGAGTTCAGGCCCAATCCGCGGCTTGCCCACCTTTGCACCGAGTGCTTCAAATCACTGACGCTGGGCTGAACTTCGGTTCGTTGTTGTTTGCCTCACCCGGGAATGAATTGCAATGCAGGTGTTATGTGTGACCGTGGCATTTCTCCACGTCTAACGTGAAGGGAGCGCCTTGCCAACCTTTGTGAACCGACCTTTGTGGTGGCCAGCATCACTCACTCAGGTGTATATCCGAATAATAGCATACCTTAAACGTTTAAGGAGCATTCCTGAACGAAGCGTTCTGCTTGTTTGCACGTGAGGAACCATCATGCGGCCTCATCCATTACCAGCGCGAAGCACATCGCAGCAGCAGTGGAGACGAGCAGCGCAGGACGACAGATGGAGCTCTGTTGTGCCAACTATGGTCACAATTCGTTCTGCACTTCTAGTTTCAGCCCCTGCTTCCCGCTATGGAGCAAGTCTGTTCTGTTGCGAGAGCTCTCGTCCTTCTACTATGCTTCAGCAGTGTGCGGAGCATACTTTCAGACTTTCACGGTTGATTTTGATGGGGGTCTCCTTAGGAGTTGTTGTGCCGTAAAATGACCCCAATGAGAAGAGCAAGATAAACACATCGTTTTCACTATGGCTGCAATGGACGCTGGCATGTACTATCCTAAGCCCTGGGGTCCGAACCCTGTGGGTTTTTTGGGGGGGTCCAAGTACCTAACCATCATATACTCTCAGCTCCCAAACTTTAACCTACATAACTACTATCCTAAACCCAAGTACCTGATTATTGGGTCCTCGGCTTTGGCATTGGCGTTGCAAATTTCTGGTGGTTGTATTGGAGTGCAAGCTGTGGTTTCAAGATGTGGTCGGACCCGTCACCCGTCCTCGTGAAGCTTTGTCTGCCTTGAGCGAGCGTAAGAATCGAAACCCCAAATCGGGAAAGAAAAAACACTCTGGTGATTTGAGAACCTTGGGCAGAAGCGTTGCTCGGCTGAGTCTTCGGAATAGATATTGAGAGAGTACAAAGCACTCGAAGCAAGGACGTCAGACCCACCTAAGCATTGTAGGAGACAGAAAGAACCCTAGACTCCACGCAGATCTTCACGGACCTCAGCCGGCTGAGGGCTGAGAGAAGGCTTGCAAGGCTTCCGCAGAATCTAATAGTCAGAACATGATGGTGTCGGGCTGACAGCCCACAGTGCCGAGATGAGAACGTAAATCCATCTTCTGAATGGACAAGGTAGGAACAAGTGCAACGCAGACCGTGTTGAAGGTTGCCCACCCCGCCCCGCCCCTGGCCCGTCCGATCTATCTCGGACCAGGGCGGGGAAGTTTTGCCTGAAACCGCTAAGTCCTTGCAGCAGGCAAGAAGGCCGCTACCCGCGTACTGGAGATCTCAGGCGGAGCTGCGATCTATTTGGGTGGCGTCGGTGCCGCGACTGGCCTGGCACTAGGTGCTCGCTTTTCTTTCATTTGCTCGGATGCACAGCCTAAACAAATCTTTAATGCAGCTTCGTAGTCATGGTTCCCGAACGCACGAAGCCTCTCAAGTGAGCCGCATGGCTCTCGCATTGAAAGCGACGGATTTCAGGGGTGAACTCAGATACTGCTGAGGGTACTTCGACCCTGATTACCAAAATCAGCCCATGCTAAGAGTGTGCTGACAGTCATCTGACTTCACGAATGCTTTCAGACATTCATGTACACAACCGTCCCAGGTGATGAACTCGGCATTTCTGGAGAAAGAGAACATCCGGGGTGTTGTGTCATGCGCACGCGACCCTGGGCAAACGTCAGAAGCACCCCTCACCGGCAGAAGCAAGAAAGTACCGCACTTGTTTGCGGTTGTAAACGTGCTAATTGCTGCAGTGAAAGGGGGGGGACAAGGCACGAGACATCAGTGATTTGTTGCGACTTTGCGCTCCACCGACAACTGAAATGGATGAAATCTTAAAGTTCTGGCGAGTTTCACAGGATGGAGCAGTCGGCGGGGTAGTCAGACTAATTACTAGTGATACCAAGGACTTGCACGTGCTCTGGCCGAAGTTCAGCAAAGCTGTCGCGGATGCCGAAGCACGAGGAATCTTGGTTCGTGTCATTATGGCGTAGCTGGATAGTAATTACCTTTTGCACCATACTACTAGCAAGAAGCGCCAAGAAATAGTACTGTGATATCACGACAGAAAGTCTGCCACTGGACCCCGAAAGGCCGACATTGGGAAATTCACGAGCAAATTAAAAGGATCAGCAACCGAGAGACTCCAACATCCATTAATTAACGAATACATACACCTCAAATCATATGAGGGATCTAACTAAAATTTATGGCATCTGTTTAAATTTATTGGAGTCTCTGGGAACAGCTCAAACACTCATTAGTTTCGCGCCGAAGCTGGCACTAGAGCCCCTAGACCCTAGGCAATCTGCAAGCTGAAAACTGCGACATTACTGTTTATTGTGGTGAAGCTCCTATACTGAGAAGAATCTAGGGGTGTGAATGCAAAGTAACACCATCCCCTTGTTATTGTTTCCTTACGGATGATTATAGCATTATGCTGGGCGCCATGGTGTGAAGTTGTCTGTAGTGTCGACGACAGCGAATGCCACGCCCGAGAGCGTGAACATGCGATGACCAACTAATATTGAGGTTTGAGTAATAAGTAGCAAGATCTCGTTGTAGGCCCTGTATCATAATCATGGCAGAGTACATCCCACTACCTTATATTCAATCTGTTAAGGAACCTAAACCCTAAACCTTAAACCGCAACACCTTTTAATCCAACAGCCACCCTAGGAGTGCGTTTCCACCTCGTTCCTCTGCTCGATGAGCCGCAACAGAAACTGGAGATCGAAGAGCTCCGATGTGCCACGAAGTTTCTGCACCAGAGCCTTGACATGTTAAGTTATGTTCATATGATGTTTTTGTAACTGCATAGTAGACTAGAATATACTATCATATGACATTGTAACTGTATAAATGAAGAGAGTATACTATAATATACCTTGGATCGATGTATAGGGTTTGGTATGTTTAGGTTGCGGAAGAGCACGACTTTCCAAAGAGTTAATGCACTCCTTGCATTCAGAGCGGTCTTGTTGCCTATCGGGCATTAAACCCTACTTCTCTGACATGGAAGATGAACAATATATTATATTGTGTAATCATACTATACATGCGAGTATACAAAAGAACAGACTTCGAATATAATCCATAAAAGAGTATACTGGGATATTGCACAATGTACCGTTCCTGGCTTCAAAAAAGCTCTGAGGGCCCGGCATCGCTGTTTCACCGCGATGCGGCCCAAGAACTTTTGAAGAGCACAAGTGCACATGAAGTTGGGTTTAGGGTTTTAGGGTTTATAGGGTTTAGGAGTTTAGGACTCCCGACTTCTAGAAGTCTAAAGCTTTCAGCACCTATCCATCCCAGGATTGTCGCTGAAGGCGGAAATGCTTTGGTCCACTGTGCACAAGGCTCTACCGGCATGCGGTGTGAAGAAAGATCTGTCGGGGCTGTCACCATGCATCTCCGCTGCCTTCTTGGGAAGTCTAAACCATCGGCGGTACGTTCTAAAGCTGATAGGGGGGAGGAGTACCCTCATACGCTGGGATTTCAACCTGTTTTCCTTGACGATTGGGGGCTGGTTCCTCCGCCCAAGTGCAAGTGTTTTCCTACTATCTTGTCGTAAGCAACATACAACGCTAGCACACGCTAGCTTTTCCCCTGCTTCCTGCACAGTTTATCCCCCTAAGGGTCCAAGTACCTAATAATCATATACTGTCCTAAATATTGAGCTACATAATCTAAACCCAAGTACCTAATTCTTGGGTCCTTTGGACCCTTAGGGTCCTTCTTTGCCCGATCCTCCCCCCCCCCTCCCTCGTGGAGCCTCGGAACATCTCGGAACCGACGGGAAGGGCGCAGTCGGTCGACTTCGGTGCTGCTGGCTTACATGGCTACACAGAACATGACGGCATCTTGGTTTCGACTTGGGAGTTTCCGACAATTGGGGGCCCCTCATTTTGGGGGTCCTTGTAATAAGGATCCTACTGTTTAGGGTGCTAGATTGGGGTCCCCTATTTTCGGAAATTCCCACTTGCAAAGCCCTAAAAAATGCAGACATGCTGTACACTGCTAGATTAGAGATGAAGCGGACGCACATCTCGCGTGCTGCTGTGGCAGAGCACCTCGACCAACACCGCTGAGACAGCTCCCCTTGTCGAATGCCTACAGAGGCCGAGAACGAAGTCATGCAAATACGATGTAAGGATGTATGCACACCTGCGAGGAAGCTCAGGGCCTCCCCTAAACCCTAAACCCTCGGCCGTTGCTGTTGTAACACATGAGCCTCGAACTGTGCAACGCCTTTGAGTGATGAGTCAAACAAGTCACTGATCACTTCGGACTGCTGTTCAACCAAGATTCCCCGCAATGTGGGCTGCATCACTGCCTGCAAGCCTGCAGGTGGACTCAGCCCTGGCATCTGTGCAGGACAAGAGACAAATGGCCCAACCAAATTCAGGCGACTTGAGCATGAGCAGTGCTTGATAATATATATATATATATATATATGTATATATGCAGGGGCCTCAAAAGTAGCCAATACTATTTTGGGGGGCTCCTCAGTGCTAATCACGGCATAATGGGCTCCCAAACTCGAAGTATTGAGGTCCGTATATTACGGTCGACAGCATGTCGGGCAGATATGCAGCAGTTCACACTTGTCTGGCTCGACGGGTGTTGTCACGATGTTCCGGTACGTTGGCCGAAGCCGCCACTGTATTCGGGAAGACTAGGATGAAGCTTTTGAAGTGGCCTCTGCCCTGCGCCAAGTCCAATACTCCCTCCATACATACATACTCCCCTCTAATATAATACAACCGCCCCAAAAAGCCCTATAAATCCCATAAACGCCCTCATAGATCTCGTTCCAAGCATGAAGCCTCCGATTTATTTGGCTGGCCCTAAACCCTAAACCACACTAGTACAGGAGCCTAAGCGAGAGGGAAAAACTAGCACAGGAGCCTTGATAATTACCTACGCTATTTTGGAGATTCCTTATTGGGAATATGGTATAATATACCCCCCCAAACCTTGTTGTAAGTATTAAGGCCCATATATAATGAGCTTAGATAGTGAACAGGGGGCCCTTAAACTTTGTGGCTTTATATATTAGCTCCATCTTAGAAAGTTTGAACTTTTTGGGGCCCGGTTGTTGAAGAAGTTCTTTTTTGGGGGTGCACAGTTAGATCCTATAAGGTAATCCTAAAAAGGAACTACTATGGAGCCTGTGGGTATTAAAGCCCCTATATTATGAGGTTTCTTGGAGCAACTCCGGAACTTCGAGCGCCGCGGCGAGCTGGCGGGGATGTTGGAGCCGACCACACAAGAGCAAAACGTGATTTGCTGGGTCGGGTACACAGGGTCTAGGGATAAGGGCTTACAGGGTTTAGGGTTTAGGGTAGGGTATACAGGGTGTAGGGATAATGGCTTATAAGGTTTAGGGTTTAGGGTAGGGAAAACAAGGTTTGGGGATAAGGGCTTATAGGGTTTAGGGTTTAGGGTACGGTATACAGGGTTTAGGGATAAGGGCTTATAGTTATAGGGTTTAGGGTTTAGGGTAATTAGGGTATACAGGGTTTAGGTTCTTTAGGCAGGGTATATAAAAAATGGTGTTTACAGGGTGCAAGTCGGGTGCAGTGTCCATGGTCCATGGAGCATCGAATTTAGCATCTAGGTTCAGAATGTCATTGCGTTGCGAGACTCTTGATGATGGCACGGCAGAGAGAGAGAGACTGAGAGAGAGGTTCAGAATGTCGTATTTACCGTTTGGGGTTTTCCGGTTCAACCCTGCTAAGTTATACGGGTGGTTGTCAATGTCAGGGTCTCTGGTTATGTCCTTTACTACAATACGGCACCTAATATTCAGGGTACCCAACAAGGGACCTTCATTTTGACAGCTACCCATATCAAGGTTTCAGCTCCTGGGTTCCTGAAGAAAACAGAATCTTCGCGCGCCTTTTGTGCTGAAAGGCACACCACCTGGTGCCCTTCGACTGATGTAGAGATTGCCATTCCCATGTGAGCACACCAGGTTTTCGGCAAGAAGCGTGGCAGAGAGATCCTGCATGCTGTTTTCTTCCAACTCAAGCTTTTCGGCCGTAAATCCACAAGTGAGGCTTGAGACATCGCAGAAGGACAAGAGAGCATCTATTAGGGACCCACAAAGGACATGAGCATAAGCATTGTATCGGGATATGCTTGGGCTTCAATATAAGGGGTCTATATGGGATATCCCAATCCTTCCTTTTGCTTCTGTGCTTGTTTGGGGCCCGAATCTAGACTCCCAAACTGTGTCTTCAGCCATCACACAACCCTCCAAGCCCAAACTCCTAAGGCTTACATGCTGAACCCGGAGCATCCCGAAACATGACATCCCTCAAGCCTCAAGCTCCTTCAAGCACTAAACCCTAAACCCCTAAACCCTAAACCCCTTCACCACTAAACCCTGAGCCAGCCTAAACTCCTGAGTCTCAAACCCCAAATGCACCTGAACCAGAACCCGACAATCTTAAAACCCTACACTTCTTAAACGCCTGGATTGTCCGAGTGTGAGCGCCGAAACTTCTCGAACTCTGAAGCCTTAAACTCCGACACAGGGAGGACAAGGGGCCGCAAAAAAAAAATCATCGGGGGCCCTAATATAGTACCCTAAATAGTAGGATCCTTATTATAAGGACCCTTAAATAAGGTACCCCTAATTTTTGGAAAAAAAAGAAAACAACACCTAAACTCCCAAAACCCTAAACCCCCAACCCTAAACCCTAAATCCTAAACTCCAAAGCAACCGTCTCACCATGGTCGCGGGAGTATGACCATGGCAAGCATGGAGCGACCCAGAGCAAGGCTAGTGGCGGGTGCTCTTGGGTGACGGGTTTGAGATGTTTTTTTTTATTTATAGAGATTAGTTATATAGGGTTCAGTGTAGGGTTTAGGGTTTAGGGTATTGAACTAGGTTCTTCAGAGTGGCTACCTACCAGGCGCTCTTTTGCGCAAGCCTGCAAAAAATGTTCTTCAGAGAGACGGGTCTAGTAGTCTAGTAAGTTAGGGCTTAGGCGCCTGAGGTTCTTTGCATAAACTCATTGTCTATATGCTCTCGGCGAGACTGACAGATCGTTCTCACACAACTTAGGACAGCTTACCGGGCACCTTTCGCTGACAACATCCACGGCACGATGGATTTCTAGTTCCATTCACATCCATCATTCTCCACCGACTGTTTCCTTGTACCTTACTGTGGCAATTGTCACAGGATTTGGGCATGTGCGACTCTTGCCTTCGTCTGTGTTTTGCAGCGGTTTAGGGTTTGCGGCTGCCAGGATTTCATTTGCCCATGTCTCTCCAGGGGCTCGCGTAATTAGTCTACTGAGTGTACTGGCGGTTGATCACCATGCTTCGTACAGCAGACGAAAGCCTGGAAGTTATGAGCCGCCACGACTGTAAGGCATACCATGTATGCTATCAACAGAGGAAAGGCCAGAAATTTGTGGACACATACGTGCATGAGTAAATTGGTTTGGAACCAAGGTTTCACGATGGAGATACGCATCGCCATCACCGTCATTTTCGCACTCCGCCATTTCAACCGACAAGCGTACCCAGACAACAAATCCTTGACTCATAACCCCAAAACCCTAAAATCTTCAACTCAAGAGCCCAAAATCCTGAAGCCGACAAAATCCCTTGTTGAGTCCGTCCAGGTCCTGGTGACCGCCTCGTTCAGATGTCCCAGTTCAGCCCAGCTCCCGCGATATGGAGGCTATGGGTGCTGGAGATTACATACTATAGGAGCCTGAACAATTACCTACACTGTTTGGGTGGTTCCTTCTTATAGTATACTGTGCGCCAAAACCCTAAAAGCGCCATGGTAAGTAGGCCTTGCGGGGTTCAGGGTCGTCCAGGGCACAGGGATCTCGACTCAGAAATTGCAAAGCTCTTCCTGAATTAATTACTTATTGTATAGAGTTTGTTTGTTTTCGTGCTGGAGTCTTGCGCAGGCCGGCTAGTCTGGTTTGCCGTGTTCGCACTTGTTGGACAGCCACGGGCGAACTGCAATGGATAAGTCGACGAAGCAATTTCTGTGTGCCTTAGACTTGGCCGGTCTGTCATGCCATTGCAATCTGTCTTGGTGAGCCACACAATACACTGCAGCAGCAATCCCTAGCCCTCCTTCACCACTCCCAGTTGGAACTGGCCCAGAACCTAGTGCGAGATCTGTGCTGGGAAAGCCGCCTGGTTGGGAAGCTGCCAGGCCTTGCGCCGGCTGGCAGCAGAAGGCCAATCTCGAGTAATACAGGGGTCTAAACATACCTATACTGTTTTGGGGGTTCCTTGTTATAGTTATAATATAATGGGCCCCAAAACCCTATTCTAATGATTAAGGCCCCTATATTACATTTTTCGAAAGATAGGCGATGAAGAGCCCCGTTGCTGCGCTGGTTCTTGCCATGAGCTTCCTTTCTTTCGTGCACCGTTGTTCTGGCCAGGCTGACAAGTGTCCTTCCAGGAGTTGTCAAACGTCGTGCAGCCTTGCAGGAGCAGGGTCTGAAAGAGTCGTGTGGAATCATATGGGAGTTTCCGAAAACAAGGGGTACCTTATTTGGGGGTCCTTATTATAGGGATCCTACTATTTCGGGTCCTATATTAGGGTCCCCTATTTTCGGAAACTCCCATATCTTCAGTAGCGCAGGAACCGGATTCACTTCCATGCCTGACACTTCCCTGGCCTTGCAAAGCAAGCTGTTACTCTTCAGCCACAACAAATTCATGCACTGTGAAGGCGGTGGTGTGCAGTCTGTGTTTATGTGCCGTGATACGTACGCACATATGTATACGATATGAACAGGATTGATTGATTGTGTAGTAATCATAGAGAGCGAGAGAGAGTAGGATGGAAAGGCATCAGCGAAATTCTTGACTAGATCGGAGAGTACCAACATCTGCATGCGCGCTCCCGACTTTTCCTGGAGAAGAGCCTAGGGACTCACTCTCCCGCCTCGTAGCAAACTATCGAGTCTCAGGTTCAGGTACTTGAGAAGCTTGAACGCCTGGTAACAAATTTCATCAGGGCTCCTTAACACAATTCAAGCTTAACATGCCGCCCCCGAACCTTATTCTAAGTGTGCATCTTACTGTAGCGATCCTTAGATACCGTGCATGAACCAAGTCGGCAGGATGCAGCCAACGGTACCTGAAGCATCAGAAACATAACGAGCCCTAGCTTGCCACCCAATCTCGCGAGCAATAACGGTTCGTGCGTGCGGGTTCTTGTCGTGCAGTTGGCTACAGTGCACCGCAAAGCAAGATCTTGCACATTCCGGAGGAGGTAGCGGGTGGCGAATGCGGCACTGGCGGCCACACTTGCGGGCTAGGTGTCTCAGCCTTGGTTAAGGGGCGATGGTAGAATCTGGTAGAACTGCTAGCAACGTCCGCAGGCACTCGGTGCACAGCAGCGGATGCCTGCGTCCGAATGCCACGGAAGAGAGAGAGAGAGAGAGAAAGAGAAAAGGCTGGTAGCATGCTTTAGGGCTTTCAGGCACCAAGTCTTTGCACAGTTCCAGGGCACACATCCGAATGCACAAGCTGCCAGCATTGCTACCATGTTCGAAATATTCAGGCCCCCATAATTTTGCTTAGACTGGATATCCAGCGAATCTGCTGCCAGCTGAGAGGTGATTTCACATCTGCAGCATCACTGGCGACCTGGCTGTCACATGTTTGGCCCTCTTCCTTAAGGACCAATTCCATGTCCTCGGGCTCTACCTCTTGTACTATACGACACAAGATGAAGCCAATATGGGATGTGAGCCCTTAACCCCATCAGGGTCGTTTGGTCCGTTGCTCGCTCGAGGGACTGGCCCTTATAGGGTCCAAGTACCTAATAATCATATACTCTCCCAAATTTTGGGCTACATGATTACTATCCTAAACCCAAGTATCTAATTATTGGGTCCTTTGGGCCCTTAGGGTGGTGCTTCATGCAGGTCAGACCCGCAGCGGATTCTGAGGCGCAGGGAGCAGGCCAGTGCCTACCCTAAGGCCCCATAGTAGTTCCTTTTTGGGGTTCATATTTAGAATTATATAAGGTAATCCCGAAAAGGAACTACTATGGGGCCCATGGGTATGCTGTACCTTCAACTACCAAAACCGACTTATTTCAGTGGGTTCACAAAATATACCCGGACATGGAAGAGAAAGGGGCCAAACAAAAAAGTAGGTTCTTGTAGGTTAGGCTTGGATTTTCGCTGACCTCTCCACTGCATTGAGCCATGCGGAAGAGATGATGGGCACAACACCCTGCGCACAGGATCAAGGAGGGGAAGCAGCCAGCAGTCCGTCTTCCATCCGACCACAGGATGTCGCGAATGGCTGCTTGACGAACAGGGAGTGGGGGTTAATTAATGGTGACGATAGGGTGGCTTTTGGATGCTGGGTGATGGGCCTTCTAGCGTGGACTGTTGCAGTAGTCTGCTCTCCTGCTACCGGCAGTACCACATGACGCACACGTCCTCCGCAGCTGCCAAGGTGCCCGGAATTTCGCCAAAATGCTCGCGACGGACAAGCCCTTGTGGAGGGTTGCCAGAATAACGGTTGCAAGGATGGTGGCAGAGTTTACAGCAGCTTGGCCCGCAGAATCGAAAGCATCGCATAGCCTTGCTAAGCGCTGTCAGTGTTTCAAAAACACGCCAACATTGACAGGCGAAGAACGCGGCTAACACATGCTGGACATCCGCGAAGATGCTCGAGAGAGGCCTGGGACAGAAAATGCTGCGGATCTTAGTAATGTAGGAACCTGATTAAGAAACCGTGGGCCTGTATTGGGGTTCCTTATATGAATCCTATGATTGTGGGATTATAGGCCCAGGGTTTCTTAATCAGGTTCCTACATTACAAGGTTACGGCCAGTTTCAAAACAGAACTGATGACATCCGAGCTTCCCAGAGAGGGATGAGGGTAAGAAATTGATTGTTGACATGTGAATCTGTATCGAGATTTTACGTCAACCAGTTGGGACTGGTCAGTTGCCTAGAAAGACCGCAATCTTGTTGCCTTGAAGGACTCCTCAATGGAGTTGGGCAGTTTGCAGCCATGTTGTAGCAAGTGGTGTAGAGGCGAAAAGCTCGACAAAAGCGGGCACCGAAGTCATCTCCCTTCGTCTGTCCCCGACCGAATGATTGTGAATCCGGAGTCTTCTAAACCCTAGGCCCCCTGCACCCCTGAATCGCAAACCGCCCCCTCAACCCCTAAACCCGACGAGTTCTAAGCCCGATAGACCGTAAACCCCGCATCATCAACCCTAAAACCTTAGCCCCTAAACGCCCGAAGCCCTAAACCCCCAAACCCTGAACCCCTAAACCCTAAGCTTGGATTCCTCGCCAAGGCTTGTCCGAGAGTGAGTGCTGGAACCCTAAACTCCCGAACCCCTACACACCCCCAAACCCTAAACGCCCGACCCCCTTAAACCCACTCAACTTCCTAAACCCTATAGAACCCTTTAAAGGAACCCAAAAAACCCCTGTAGAACCCTTTTCAAAAGAACCCTAAACCCCTAAACCCTAAACCCTCTCGCATCCGAACCTCGGGAGGCTCAGCTGCGTTTGCCTCGGCCGCCGCTGCTGCAGCCGCCAGGATCGACGATTCCGACAGCCAGGCTCAGACAGGTACTGCTGATGATAGAAATCTTGCATTACCTTAAGGACCCTAACTATGGGAAGTATGTTATGTCACATCGCAGTGGGCGCCTCGGTTCCTGGCATTTGCATAGCCCTGTGAACAAGGGTTTTAGGGTTTTCAAGGTTTAGGATTTTAGTGTTTAGGCTTTTGGGTTTTAGAGCAGGGCTACCCGGCAGTGGCAATAGGCCTGGATGCAAGAAGGGTTTTAGGTTAGGGTTCAGGGTCTTGGGTTTCAGTTTCGGGCTTTAGGTTTTAGTTTACAATCCTGAATAACTGCCAAGCAAAAATTTCTTACGCTTCCGCAAGACAAGTTCACCGTAATGTGTTATCATGCCTTTGATGCAACAATCTTATGTCGTGCGAGTGTCTTGTACGAGTTTATGCCGTTGTCTGTCGGGTTAATTCGGTTTCATACTTACTGTAGGGTTTAGGGCTGTGAGGCTTCGAGATGGGATCCGCCGCCTTGGAAGTGAGTTTGTAGATCTCCAGATTGGGTGGTTGTCAAAATCAGGGTCCCTTTTTGGGTACCCTAAATATTGGGTGCCGTACTGTGTTAGAAACCCAAAAAGGGACCGTCATTTTGACAACCACCCAGATCGGGAACTCGAGCATTCGGACCTGGAGCCCGAACCTTACATCCCCAACCGCTCTAAAGGGAACTCCAGAAAGTTGGAATATGGACTAATGGTAGGATCCCCTATATTTTACCTTAAAGGGGTTACGATAATGATATTCCAACTTTCTGGCTTCTACTGTAACTACCCATAGGCCGCAAAGTAGTTCCTTTTTGGGTTCATATTTAGAATCCTATAGGGTATTCTTAAAACGGAACTACTTTGGGGCCTATGGGTAAATACTACCTAAGCTTGGCGCTCGTCTGGTTGGCTCTTAGGACTTTAACTTTTTGGGTTTCTATATGAACCATAGTAAGGAGGCTAAGAGTTTAACTTTCAGGAGGGGTTCAGAAGTCAGCCAAGTAAGCTATAGGCCCCATACTAAGCCGTTTTGCCCAGAACCCTATGAACCCTAGCCGCTCTGCCCTAAGCCCTATGAACCCTGTAGCCGTGTTGCCCTACAAACCCTATAAACCCTAGCTGCAGCCGCTTTGCCCTAAAACCCTATAAGCCCTAGCCGGTTTGCCCTAAACCCTATGACCCTGTATTCACTGAACACTGAACATCCCGACATCGGAGCCCGACCCGCTCAGAAATACCTCCAAGGTCAGCTCCATGAAGCCCTTAAACACAGTCTGTGACTCCAACCGTCTGCTGCGCTGGACATATGTCACCCTTTTCACTAAACCCCTGCTGTCCGCGGCTTTCGTAGGATCCGGATTTCACAGCGGCAGGAGTCGGTACACCCAGCTCCGGCATCTTCTACAGACCCCGCCTGGTATTGACGAGTGTGAGCGTCAAAAGACCCCTAGACCCGCTGAGAACCTATGTGTTGCTTTGCCCACTTCATCCGGCGACGAAAGGGCCCTGCGAATCTTGCCCGGGCACCAACTGTCGTCGACTTCCCGGATGAGAAGGCGGTTCAGGATTTAGGGGTTAGGGTTTAGGGTATACGGTTTGGCGAGTGCTGAGCCTCAGCAAAGCAGCGTCGGTGTTAGTTTGCATTACTTAGATGATCCCTTAAGCATGCTACTGTATCGATTCTGGTAGTTGAACTCGGAAGCTCAGATTGCAGGCATCTGACGCCACAGCTGTCCGGAGGCCCCCTGCAGACACAGTCAGATAAGTTCGAGCGCTCGGGTGATTTAGGGATCGAGAACGTGCAAGTCTTTTGGGCATTACTTTGGCCAAGCGTAGATCCTCGTTGGTGTTGGAATTGATTAAGGCTTAGGGTTTGGGGTTTAGGGTTCAAGGTTTTGGGTTTCGGGGGGCATTCCGAGTCACACTGGCACCTTGGCATTGGCCCCCGTCCCCAAGCCCTAAACTAATCCTAAACACCAAACCCTCTGTTGTTTGACCGTTGTATCTACTGGGCTCGCTTATTAGTTCTTTGCTTCGCTTGTCCCCCTATGCCGGCATTTGACGGTTGTAAAGGTAGCAAGCCCTCATGAAGCCGTGCCTGCCTCGAGCGAGTGTGCGAGTCGAAACCCCAAACCCTAAACCGGAGCCTTGCCTGCCTTGAGCGAGTGTGAGCGTCGAAACCGCTTCGACAGTGGTAAACGAACACGCCGTACCTACTACTGCAGACCTTGCCAGGCTTGTTTGAGTTTGAGTGTCAACAAAACCGCTTCGACACTAGAGCCGATCCAGGCAGTCCGTGCTGGAAAGTGCACTGCCCGCGCCTCGTCATGCGGCCAACATGGCCTGGGGCCTTGGACGAACTTTGCTGCGGAAGGCGGTCCCCCGGGGCAGTTACCCTAAGGCCCCATGGTAGTTCCTTTTTGGTGTTAATATTTAGAATTATATAATTATATAAGGTAATCCCGAAAAGGAAGTATTATGGGGCCCATGGGTAGGGTTTACAGGGGACGTCAGGAAGTTGGGACATAAATTGAGGATGATTAGTGCGAGGATCCCTTATATTTCATGCTGGGCCTGCGAGGGGCATGAGGATAATGATGTTCCATCTTTCTGGCTTCCAGTGTAGGGTGTAGGAGATGTTACAACTTTGGAGTGAGATGTCGGGGGTTCAGGCTCAGGCGTAGGTCTTCAGGGCTGCAATAGCCATGACCTCAAAGCGAAAGGGCTTCTGGCTGTAAGCTCCTTCGAGCTTTGCTTGAGCTATTGTACATGTCGTTTGTGTGGATTTCGACAGCCGAGTCGTGGGGGTCATGGATGTGCGAGAGCTCGGGAGCCAGGGTCCTGGGGCTTGCAAGTTCTCCATTGTTTGACAGCTTCTGCTTGTATGGCATGCACTAATGTGCCGACTGTATCGGCTTTTCGTGCACATGCTGCAAAACTCGGCTTTTGCGAAGTGCCAGCGCAAACGCGTACTATAGTTGCACGTTATGCAGGCCAGTCTATGTAGGAACTTGTTAACGACAAACGTGTCAAAGACCTCCCTATGTATCTAGACACATACTAGTACTAAAATTCAAAGTTGTTGAGTGTCACCTCGCCTTTCTACTGTGGAAGCCTCTCGGGCAGGAGCCTTCGTCGACGTCTTTGCGCAGCCGCTTTTGCAATGACATTGTGCAATCTGACACGCAGAGTTTCACCAACTCGGTGCGAGGCGGAGAGTGACAAATTGGGTGTCGGAAGCTGGAACCGTAAAACAATCACTTGCCGGTAAAGTAGGGCTTTGGGGTCACAGATACCTTAACAAACGACGAATGTAGGAACCTGATTAAGAAACCCTTGGCCTATGACCCAATATAGTAGGATTCATATAAGGAACCCTAATCAAGGTCCAGGGTTTCTTAATCAGGTTCTTGCACTATGCCTGTAGTCCGGATCCTGTTAGTTGGGTTTGAGACGGGCGTCTCCGATTCTCTACGATCCTCCTTGTGTCTCTTCGTTGTTCTGGAGGCTCCGCGCGATCCCAGCTGCTGCGCGGCCTCGCCGGAATGGCCTTGACGTCTGCTATCCAGGCATGGTGTGGGATGTGCGGGGTTAGGGATTATGGTGCCAGGGGCGCTGGGCAACACCTACAATTCGTCCTATATAGAACACAGACAACCGAAGACAAGATCCATGTGTTGGCCAGTTCTGGATAGCAGTCCCCCTTGAGGTAATTCTTCTTGAAGCTAATATATAGGCCGTCAAAGATTTTAAGGATCTGTTTTAGCCGGTAAGGTGAACGGTACACTGGTACTGTCGGGCCTTCGATTTTCAAGTTCAGTTTCTCGGCCAGGGCATTCTGTTTGAGTGCCACCGACGACCTGATTCCCGATATTTAGATTCAATTCACGGCAGGATTGCTGGCGTAAGTTGAGGCAGCTTCCAGAAGTTGCCAAGCTGTTGCCAGTGCCACTCTTCCAATTTCTGCTGGGATTTAGGGGTTTAGGGTTTAGGGTGCTGTTCAGGGCATGGGAGATCAGTCATGAGAGCTGAGCCTCCGTGTTGCTCAAACATTCAGGCGATTTCACAAGTCCTGATGCAAAAAACAGTGCTGTTCAGTCCTTTTTCTGAATACTCCATGGACACCTATGGAGATCTACGAACTTGCAATGACACAACGGCAAGCAGGCACACGACACTGCATTTCGTTGAGCCTGACCGAAGCGAAGAAGTTGAGGCTCTAGCCTGCCAAGCTCTCACAGCGCCATGAACTTGATCGTTGCTTTGCTCGTCGTGGCTCTCTGCCTGACGCTATGCTCGGTGCTGCTTCTGCTGGTCCTGATGCTGCGTGGTGTTCGCTTCAGCTTGCCGGGGATATCAGCATCGGCGATCTGGCCCTCACGGGTTGAACGCCCCACCTTAGAGGACGCTGACTACAATGGGCAGCTGCAGAAGTTCGTCCGCCAGCAGCTATCTCAAGGAGTGTCTGCAGCTTGTCTCCTAGATTCTGTCGCCGACGTCGTAGCCCTGATCCGCAAGGGGGAGCGGGTGCCAGGTCCAGAGGATGGGCGGGAGGGGGTCTCCGACCTGCTGCCTGGCCTCGTCAGCACAGACTTTTCGATGCTTCGGGCACGAGGATGCCTCGGCATCCTTGATAACAGCGGCGTGACGAGGATTGATCTTGTCGAGCACCCCCCGGATGAAGTGCTGCCGGAGGCAGAGCTCTTCACCTGGAAGACCGTGTCGAAAGCAAAACTCATCAAGGAAGGCAAAGTCAAAACCGCGAAGGCCGAGCGCCTCACCCTTTTGACCACCTCATGTTGCCCGTCGCCTTTCATCCTTCGCTACCTCGGTTGCTGCCAAACACCGAGATACCTCCGTTTCCGCATGGAAGGCTTCGCTGCGAGCCTGCATCATATCTACCAGCGCGATAGGCTCTATGGGAGCGAGCCCCATGCAAGGTACTACATGGCCAGTGTTGTTTGTGCTTTGCAGCATCTGCACAACTTGCACATCGTCTTGCGCTGCGTGAAACCAGAGGATTGTGTCCTCACTTTCCAAGGCAAGCTCCAGCTGTTTCTTTGTCAAAGTTGGGTAACATTTTACTGTTTATGGGTACTTAAACCCAATAAGGAATAAAAATTATGTAAGTTTTAAATCCTACCCCAACCATGAACTAGGTTTGACTTCCATTTCTCGAAGATCATCGTCAACAAGACCTGGACAACGTGTGGGACACCGGAATACTTCGCACCCGAGGTCGTCGGCATGGCGGGCCACTCATTCGACTATGACTGGTGGATAGTGGGCATCATGATGTACGAGCTCTTTGCAGAAGCCTCGCCCTTTGCAGAGCCCAATATGATGGACACCTACCGCAGGATCACGAAATGCCAGTACACGTTCCCCAAATCTGTACCCTCATCAGCAAGGAATGTCATCCGAAAGCTTTTGGTGAAGAATCCTTCGAAACGGGCACCGGGCGGGGCGAAGTCGCTTGCGAAGCAGAGCTTCTTCCGGCCAGTGTCTGCACCCAAGGATACATGGGACTGCCTGCGTAAGATGGAGCCTCCCTTTACGCCATCCTACGCCGACGGGCCTTTCACCGACATCCAGAAAGCCAGCGACGAGGATCTTGCTGAGTGCTGGGGTGCGCAGACCGGGTCAGAAGACCCGCCCCCCGTGCAGGATGAGTGGGAGCAGTTCGGGCCAATTGGGCCCCATGATGAGTTTCCTTGAACCCGAATCGCGAAGCGTTCGGTTGAGAGTTTGTTGCGTAGTTTCACTTTTTTGGATTTGATTTGGGTCCAAGGATTGCCAGCGGCCTTGTTGGCCGATGGTGATGTCATCCTCGTGACCCAAGTCTCTTCCCGAAGCCACAGTCCTACTGAGTTGAAAACTTTGGGGTCCGACGGGCACATGGGTGGTTGTCAAAATTAGGGTCCCGCTTTGGGTCCTTGTTTTTAGTACGGCACCTAATTTTAGGGTACCCAAAAAGCAGCCATAATTTTGACAACCACCCATATGATAAACGGCTTACTCAAGCCTTGCAATGACCCCGGTGGAGCATGAGCATGAACCCTTCAACTCGAAATCCTGCTGGTATGCACCCTGGTGGTGGTTAGTTGATGCAGCACATTGCCGGTTCGTGGGTCATGCAGTCACACCGCCCCCATACTTGTTTTGCACATGTGTTCTGGCCTAAGCCTCGGCGAGGCGTTAGTTTACCTGCCAGATGCTTAGGGTGACGTTTTTTAAATATATGGGGGCCCGGCCAGCCGCACTGGCCGCAGAGGTAGTATAAAGTATTTGTTTAAATCCGTATATTTAAATCCCAGTATGATATGATCTAGCCTTCAGTCTTAAAAAGGTGAAGGCTGGAATGCTGGAGGGTTGAAGGCTGGAAGGGGTTTAGGGCTTGAGGGGTTGAAGGCTGGAAGGCTGGAGACTGCAAGGGCTGGAGGGGTTGAAGGCTGGAGGGCTCGCCCTCCCGCCTTGCAGCCTTCCTACCTTTCCTCCAGCCTTCCAGCCTTCCAGCCCTCCAGCCCTCCAACCCTTCCAGCCTTCCAGCCCCACCCAGCCTGAGCCCCTCCAGCCCTCCAGCCCTCCAGCCTTCCGGACTTCCAGCCCTCCAGCCCTGCAGCCCTCCAGCCTTCCAGCCTTCCAGCCTTCAAGCCTTCCAGCCTTCCTCCTCCAGCCTTCCAACCTTCCGCCTTCATCCCTTCCAGCCTTCCAGCCTTGAGGCTGGAGACTGGAAGTCTGGAAGGCGGTGGAAGGCTAGAAGGCTGGCAGGCTGGGAAGGCTGGAAGGCTGGAAGGCTGGAGGGCTGGGGAAGCTGGAAGGCTGGAGGGCTGGGTTTGGAAAACTGGAAGGCTGGAGGGCTGGGCAAACAAAGGCAGGTTGGAGGGCTGGAGGGCTGGGGCTTGGGGCTGGCGGAAGGCTGGAGGGCTGGGTCTGGAAAACTGGGGCTGGGCTGGGAAGGTTGGAGCCTGGCGGGCTTGGGGCTGGAGGATATTTTATTTCGAGGCGGGCCTGGGCGATGTTTCACCTAGGTAGTGTAATATACTTGTTGAACCTATTTAAATATCCGTGTATTTAAAAACAGACGCCGTACCCATAGGCCCATAGCAATTAGTTCCTTGTAATCCTTACCTTATAGGATTCTGAATATGAACCCCAAAAAGGAACAACTGCGGAGCCTCAGGTACGTTCGTGGAATCTCGTGCGTGCTAAGCTGGGTAGTTTGGATGCGCGCTTCAGCTCTTTTGCTTAGTTCGGCGAGGGAATTGTCTGGTTGAGGTGATCTCCATGCCCAAGTGTCGTGGTAGCTATATCTGAGTTTCCGAAAATTAGGGGTACCGTTTTCTTACCTACTTGTTAGGGTACTATGCTAGGGTCCCCTATTTTCGGAAACTCCCATATAGTGGTCAAATGTAGCTCAAGCCATGAGATGCCAGGGTTCGGTCGCAGGTGCTGGCCCCACAACCTCGCGGTCAGGATCTGGGCAACTTGTCGCCCCCTGGCCGGAAGCTTCAGGACATTCGCGTAGAGTTTACTTTCTCATAGTTGGGTAATAGTTTACATGCTTACGGGTACTTAAACCCAACGAGGAAGAAGCATGTAAATTTCTATGGCTATCTCAACCATGAACTAGTTTAGTATAGGGATACAGTATGTGGCCACCTTTCATCCTGGCTTCAATGGCCGCTATTGGGGACCTCTTAGAAGGTCTGTGGAGGCTTCCTGCTGAGGTTAGTTCACAGAGACTCCACGACTCCTCCAATAAAGAGTACCTATAGTCGCCATTGTAGTTCCCGTTTTGGGGTTACCTTATAGGATCCTTAATTACATATTTGGTTAAACCAAGAAAGGAACTACAATGTTCCTTGTCGGGGTTACCTTGTAGGATCCGAATTACATATTTGGCTAAACCAAAAAATGGAGACTATAGGTATACCTCAACTCATGCTTTGGTTCCGACTACTTGCCCATAGGCTCCATAGTTCCTATTTTGGGGGGTGCAAAAGAATCCTATAAGGTAATCCCAAGAAGGAACTACTCTGGAGCCTATGGCTACAACGAAAGAGATTCCCTTCATTACGGGGTTTCGGGGTCTCCGGATTTATTGGGTTTTTTTATCTCTGGATTTTGGTCTTCGGCCCGGGGGTTATCGCTGCCGAAAAGTCCCTACCTGGACCCCGAAGGTATGTATAATAGTAGCCTGGTAACCCCTAAACCCTTGGGTGGAAAGAGGGCCTTCAAACAAAGCCAAGCCCTTGAACCCCAACCCTCTCGGAGATGCATGCTTCTGGACGATTGAAGAACTCGCTGCTTTTGTGAGGTCACCAGTGCTATAGCTTTACCCTGCTATGTTCCAAAACTGTTTCTCCTTGCAGTTTCAACACAAGCTCAGGGGAGAAGTTGAATGTCGGTAGTTTTTCATTGTACGGCGCGTTAGTCGGAGCCGGTCCCAATGGCTCCCACACTGAACCTTGACTGACTTGACTCGACAATGATCCAAAGAATCTCGGGCAGAAGATTGAGTTGTGTACTTCTTCAGCATGGATCCCTTGCATAGTTACGCGTGCCTGGCCATCACCATCACCGACAAACTTGGAGTAACCTCAAGGCGAGGTTGATAGAGATGGCTTGGGCGTAACCCCTCGGTTTGAGTCGCCACGGCTGACACTGTTCGAATCACAAGGTCCCAATATAGACTCGAAGTAGACGGAGCCTGGCCCAAGCCAGGCACCACACGTCTGACCTATCTGAAGGAACGCCCACTGATACCCCGTCACCAAGGTGGAAGTTTGCGAACTGTCGCTTCTTGGACCTCCTGCTGCTCGATGCCGTGGGCAGCCTGTTGGTGCGAAAGATCAGGGAAGTGGATCCACAGGCTCGGTCGAAGTAAGTGCCAATGTCTTTAGAAAACCCGCATGATTTCGAAACTTCAATATGTTATGGTGTGATGAAAGTCAGTCAGTCGTGCGAAGGGCTTGCATGCTGCAGCTCTGCATTCAGGCAACTTCCATCACAGCCCGGTCATCTGGGAAGCTCCAGTACCTCAGCAGGCCTCTCTTGCACGTGGCCGCTGCTGTTTCACAGCCCATGATGGGCAATTCTGGTTCGCAGAGTGCCGCCAACATCGCTTGGGCATTTGGCAAGCTGGGACATGCAGGGGGGGCCGCAACGCATGCTGCATCACGGCGTTCAATGCAGCTGGCCCAGAAGCCCCCACCACAGCAACTGAGCAACATCGTATGGTAGCCTGGCACCTCGAAGCTGGAAGACGATCCGCTCGTCGGTGTAGCAGCGGAGGCCGCGTGTAAAAAGATGGAAGGACCTGCTCCACAGAACACCAGCAACACCGTGCGGAGTCTGGGGACGCCGGTGCAGAAACATGGCAGGGCAACTGCTGCTGCCGCTTGCCGGAGCAAGTGCATCCTAGACGGGCTTGGCCAGCAAGAGCCAGCGAACACTGTATAGAGATTGGCAGCTTTGCAGTGGTTGGACATGCTGCCAACGGAGGCTGCAGCCAAACGAGGGCTTTCTTTATGGCACACGGTCGCATTGCAAGGCCTGGCGAACATCGCCTGGGAGTTTGCGAAGCTCCGGGCTGTCAGTTTGCCGGCATTGCAGGCGCTCCCATCTTCTGCAAAGCTTCGAGTGTCAGAGCTTGGCCCACAAGAAACTGCCAACAGCGTGTGGAATGCTGCTGCTGTGATGTCCCACGACCGGCCTGTCTTGGAAACAATGTCCCAGCGTGGCAGAAAGATCTCTGCAGAGCCGCATCCGCAACACCCCTCCAATCTGGCACGAGGCCATGCCACGACAGAGTTCCTGGGCACCTAGGTCCCGCAGTAGTGGGGCAGGCTTCCCCTTGACTCAAAAACCTTATACAACAAATTCTGGGTCGGGGATAGTGAGCCGCGAGCCTAGGCACTCCGGTCATATGGGAGTTGGCAGAGAAGTTTGTGCAGAAAGCTCCAGAGAGCCGGCCCCAGCAGTTGTCGACCACTGCATGGTGCATGGCCTCGCCGTCGCTGTCTCGCATGCCTTTGATGGAAGCTAGGTGAGGCACCGATTTGTTTTCAGTATTTCCCCTTATTGCGTATCAACAGATTTCTCCCTAAACCCTAAACTCCCCAAAAACCCTTTTGGGAGTTTCCGAAAATTAGGGGTACCGTATTTTGGCGTCCGTATAATAAGGATCCTACTATTTAGGGTACCATATTACGGTCCCCTATTTTCGGAAACTCCCATTTAAGCGATTACCTTATAGAATCCCGGCCAAAAAGGAACTACTATATATGGGGCCTTAGGGTAGCACCTGGCCAACTAAGGAAGCAACCAGAAAGTTGGAATTATAGGGGATCCTACCATCAATCCATATTCCAACTTTCTGGAGTTCCCTTTAATATAGTACCTTAAACAGTATGATCCTTCTTATAAGGACCCAAAAAATACGGTATTCCAACTTTATGGAGTTCCCTTTAAGGAAGCAACCACACAGCGATCTCTCCGACAGCTTCGAGAGCTCAGCCCATAGTCTCCAGCAAACAGCGCACAGAACTCGGCGACTAGGACCGGGAATAGGCGTATAGGATTTATTTAGGGTTTAGAGTTGATTTAGCGTATAGGGTTTATTTAGGGTTTAGAGTTGATTTAGCGTATAGGATTTATTTAGGGTTTAGAGTTGATTTAGCGTATAGGATTTATTTAGGGTTTAGAGTTGATTT